TTTAATATTTTAGGATGTAGTCGAGATTCCTTTTTAGAATGGCCTTAAATTGAGCACTGAGAGGACTCTATGAATTAAGCTAGGGTTATTGTTGATGCAGTGAACTAGAAGTGGCGAGGGCACGCTTGCCAATTATGTCTCTGCCCTGGTGCGTTGGCCTTGCTTAATGTTGCAGTGCCTGGTTGTTCTTGGATTGTGCGCACCGTTTTTCACTCAAACAGGACAATTTTGAAAGTGTTCTTGCGGAGCAGGTTCGGCTGTATTGGAAATTTATCTGATCCCTTTATCAGTATTTCTGAGAATACTGCAGAGCAATGACCAATCAAGTATAAAATCCATACCTTTTGCTCGGCTCACATGCTCCCACTGCGAATCTTGAAGAATGCAATCATAACTGAGATACTTTCAGATACTATTTTGAGTGTCATTAACCTCCTGCAGCGATCAACATTTTTTTCTTACTGTGCTTAAAATGTAATAGTCTGAGGGCTCCTACCTCTTATTGACTGGATTTTCTATTTATTTAGAAATCAAGTCATCCTGTAACAGAGCAGCATCCTGGGAATTGAGCCATAGCATCCATGTAAAGAAACAGCAATAATGGTTGCAAAAAAGATTACACTCCTCCAGTCTAACACATTTATTAGTAATAGCAAATACTTTATAAAGCAAACCCAGCAAAGAGAATTGAGAACTTCTTAATTTTTTTATACTTGTCTTCTGTTTGCTTTTGACCAAACTGAGTCAGATTCCGTAGAAAAATAAATACCCTAAATACCTGATGATGCAACTAAAGTTTACACCTGTAAAGAAATTGTGTGCTTAATTACTGGCAGGGAAGATTATCTTGTTTTTATTTCTAACTCAACCTCAGATCATATAGTGAGTTTTATGTAATAGATGTATAACAATGCAGTGTTTAAGATGTTGTTACTTGAATTACAAGCTATTTGTGAATAATTGTATATTGCATATTAATAGGAACAGTGCAATGGCCATAAATTTGAAGAACAGTTATTTTTGATATGTTCAGTTTCTGCAAATAATCTCAAATACAACTTAAACTGTCCCTTTGTCCTATTTGTGAAGTACAAAACGTTTTCCTTTTCCAGACAACAAAAGCTTGTATTTGTGCAAGAATGGAATTAACAATCTGCATAATAATTGTGCATGTGCTGCATTTGCAGGCTATATTGTGACATTTCCTTGTCTTTTTATTTCAAAGTTTAAACTTGTGTTCACATGGGCTTAGCAGAATGTCAAATCAATCCCCCTTCCCTCCTCTAGAGCATGTCTCATTAGCATGCAGTGCAGAAACCAGTGTCCTCACAAGGGCATAGCCGGAATGGCATGGAAGCAGAGCCGGCTTGGATATTGGTGAATGACATGGAATCTGCGGCCACTTCGGTACCCTCCGGGATTAGTGACAAGAGCAAACTGAGGCCAGAACTGTTATCTTCATCCTTCAGTACTCTCTCGTGTTCACACAAACACAAGCAATACGAGATCTTTAAAGCTTGTGCAGACATAACGATGAATTTGGACTGTCTTAATTAGCTTTGGCAAATATTTTTAGCATGTATATGAGAGTGTGAATAACACTTGCATGTCATGATTTGGAAGTAGGTGTAATCTCCTAAGCAGAGTGGAAATGAGGTAAATCATTTTTTTTAATTAAATAAGTTGCTCCCTTTCCTCTGCGCTTGATTCCTCCCAAAGCACATAACCATTAATACTGCCTGTAGCATCTTACTGAAATATTAATCATTCTCCTTTCCTCTTGATGAGCTACGATTAGAAAAACATTCCCACACGAACATGTGCTAAATTCAAGAACCCCTCCAATATGGGTGATTTTGAATATAAGGTTGCCAAATATGAAGCAAGCGAATGGCCAAAGAAGAAGCAACTGATCACTCCCTTCTGCTGTTCATGTCAGCAGGCAGATGGCAGAGAAGCTGGGCTTCTGTGGGAGGGGAGGTGCCTTTTCCCCTTCACAGCTTCACAGAGTAGGGCCAGGTGTCATCTGCCACAAAGTTAACACTCTCATGAATCCCATTAATGTGCTAACAAGCTCACAGGAGACTCAGAGCCATGCATGATATTTATTTTAAATTAGTTCACTAAATCTATTTATCGATAATGGCTCAAAATTAAGCTTAAAAATGTAACATTTGAAAAACAATTAAACATTCAAAACTGGATATGATCTTTAATTGATTTAATTGATTTCTAATTCATTCTGTATTTACTCATTCTTTTAGAATGAGTAAATAATTAAATTTTCTATTGTCAGATAACATTTGTATCACTTTTCTAATGAAGAACTCTATATCAGTTAAAACAGGAGCCAAAATTCATGTTTCATTACTTTATTGTAGCATAATTGATTGTTTTTTTTGTTGTTGTTGTTGTTTTTTTTTTTTTACCTCCATATTATAACCTTGTGGACCAAAGGTTTATAGTTAATAAAATACAATTGTTTATTGTTTACATTAAACTGGGCATTCTGGAAATTTCCCCAGAGTAATTGCAGTTGAACTCAAAGAATAACCACTATTTTTTTTTCACTTAGATTGGCAATTTAAAATTTTCATAACCATAATTTGCACAATTCAGCAGCGTGATTAATTGAATATTTAATGTAGCCTCGAAGTGACAATGACAGTAGCCTCTTCCACAAATAAATTCTGTCATAAAGCCTCCTCTGAGCCTCTTCTCTCTATTTAAATGAAGACGATGGTGCCAGCAGTGTGGGACAACATAAGGTGTGGTGCCACATTGATGTCAGTGCTACACAGAAAATTTGCATAAGTCGGCCTTCGTTCTTTTCTAAATTTTAGTGGTGGTCAAACTTAGTGTAGCAATCCTGTTCTTAGCTGAGCAAATGTTGCAAATGAAATCATCCTCTTTGTCTTTTTGTCAAACTCATTTCTCAGTCACGATTTTAAATTCTGAAGGTGCCTAGCTGCACAAATCATTGTGTCATTTCTACTAAATGTGGTGGTTTGTGGCCTATTTTAAAGACTATAATGTGAATTATTCGCTTCAGTCCATTTATAACTTTTTTACTCTAATGTGACCCCTAGAGTATATTTTAAAGAGTACATGTTGTGTTACACATCAACAGAGCCATAGAGAACAAACATGGTAGGACTGACCATCAACACAAAGTACCATAGTGGTCAAACTAAGAGTCAAAACACTGCATGTCAGCACTGACCAACTGGGTTTAGGATTGCAATATGGACACTGCTCGATTGGCAGCTGTAGTGCCAGGATTTTGAGAAATGTAAACGCACCGACAGGTGACAACTACAGGAAGTGAACAAGTAGAAGCCTGAACACATCTCCAAAACAACACTGTCAAAGATGGACGAATCACTGAACGTGTAAAGCAATGCCAGAAGGAAAATAGAATCAAGGCTCCCAACAGATGTAATTAAGTGACAATAAATCACAGGGCCATCAATCAGGTCTGTGGAGTATCATACAGGTGCAGCTGTCCAGGTTGAGGTAAGATGAGAACTGCTTCTGGGAAGCAGCACATAGAGACTGTAGCAGTCACCAGCCTTGCTTGAATATTGTCTGTCAAATCCCAGATGTACTTTTCAAAACTTGTCCCAATAAATCTGAACTCCTTGACAGCATAGCAGAGAGGGAACGGAATGCCATTCTGTGTTTTCTGCCCACAAAGTGACATGGTTAATAATAGAATGATCTTTGTTTGGACAGCTCAGGAAATGGCAGCAACAAAAGGTTGTCAAAGATTCAGGTGAAAAATCTTGCAGAGTTTTTACTGTTAGGTCACATAAAGAGATCTTCTTAAAGAATTCATGTTGTGAGCTGACACAGTGTTGGATATGATCGAAAATATGTAAAAATACCTGAAACTGAGAATTGTTGGATGCGGTTTCTTCTTCTTGAGACCCCTGCTTGGTCGAAGTCTCATTTGAGGAGAACCCAGATGGTCCTTTTTCAGGACTGCTGTTAGTTTTGTGAGCCATAAATCTGATCTCTATAGCATAGTGGGGGAAAGAACCCTTTCACTCAAAGAAAGGCATAAGGTATACTTTCAACAGTTTGCTCTAATTTACTACGGGGCAGTGTATGAAAGAAAGTGACCTGGTCAGATGACACTAAAATGTAGCACTTCAGATGACCTTGAATATAGCATTCTTACTGTGAAACAAAGTGTTTTTACAAAACAACTGAGAAACTGTTCAGAGTTTGTGGGGAGATGAATGAAGTTAAATACAAATAAAACCTGGATGAATACCTACTAAAGGCTTCAGAAGACTTGAGACTACAGTAGTCTTGGATCATTCTTTATGGAGAATGACCCACAATATACATACAAATCTTTGAAGGCTTGGTTTCAATCAATGCATATTCATGAGTTAAAATGGTTCACCAAGAGCCCAGATCAAAATTCTTCTGAAAATCTGTTGCAAATTTTCAAAATGGATGTTCACAAAAGCTCTACATCCAATCAGACTAAGCTTTAACTATTTTGGGAATGGGAAAAAACTACAGTTTACAGATGTATAAATCTGGTAGAGACATACACCAAAATACTTGCAACTGTAATAACAGAGAGATGACTCATGGTCTGAATGTGTGATACACATCTCTGATTTTTTTGGTCAAAAATGTGGAAAATTCTGTGTCTCTTTCCTTCCACTTAATGTTCATGTAGTATTTTGGACAGTAAGTAGTCCATCTTAGCCGGAGAACTTGACAAAGTGTATAGAAGTTTGTCGCTGTCACATCAACAAATAGGAAAAAGGTGTAGGGGAGTGAATACTTCTGGAAGGCACTGTCTTTGCTTTGGGAAAACGGGCACAAACACAACACAGAGGAACATTTCACTGTTGGTGCGATCGTTATTGAAGGTGATGAGCAAGCAGAGAGGAGAGCGGGGAGGGTGGAGACAAGAGAGTCACAGGGAGAGGGGATGGGAGTAGAATGAGCACTAAACCGCCTCTTTTTCTCTCTCCAGGACTTCTCCAGGAGAAAATCAGCTTCACTACAGCCCCTTTTAGACAGAGCCATTTGTTTGTGTGTCCATTCATAGAGACGACCCACATTCGTCAGTGTCCACTCCAGCTGTAGAGCCTGTCTGCACTGAATGACAGAGAGGGAGACGGGAAGAAAAAGGGGAAATCTGTGGGGAGGCAGATCTAGTTTACTCTGCTGCAAGCCTGAAGACAGGATGGATTTCTGCACAAAGTGAGCAAAGAGAAGTTGAACTGCACGTATTAAGGTCTGTAACTTTTCTTTTTTTAATCATGTGTTGTGAAATAATCCAGGTATTAAATGTGAAGTTTACAAACTGTTTAGTGAGAGGAAATATGAGCAAAGAAAGAGGCTCATTTCTTATGCAAAAGGGCTTCGTTGGGGTTTCCAAACAAGAGTAGCAGTAGTGTGGTGTTGGATGAGATGAGGGAGAAAATCAAGGAAGATGAACCCTAACGGTTCCCTGGATCCAGTAAACAAGGTTAATGTAAGTGAGGGGGAAAATATTCATATATGCATCATTCCACCAACTTGGGGAAAAGAAGACGCTTTTAATGGGGCAGCGGAAGAGAGAAAAAATGGTGATGAGTGGGGAAATTGCATCCCTAGAGGGAGAGGAAGAAATGGAAGTGTCCTTTTAGAGTAATGAGAACAAAACAAGGTTTTGTTTGTGTTTAAAATGTTGCATGACTCACCATGTGGCCTATAATAAACAGAAAGTAAACGGGCTGTTTGATACCACCACGGTTTGACACCGTGGTGGTATCAAACTTAAAGTTGCAGTCACACTCCAAAGCATAAGGGGAAATTATCAGATATGAGAAGAATGTGTAAAAGTACGCTTCAACAGGAGGATGATACAAAACGGACACACATCAAAGCAATACTGCTCATTACCAACACTGGCCACTGACCCAAAAAAAAAAAAAACGTCCATAGCTTTCTATTCAGACAGATCACAGTACCTGACAGTCTGCGTGGGTCTCAGCTCATTTTATTTTGCTGCCGATTTGCGCCTTTTGAATTCTACGTACCATACTTTAATGCCTCGAATATCTGAGAGAATCTGATAACAGCCTTGCTTACAGAGGTGCTCGACCTCTGCTGCGGCTCTGAGTGCATTCAGGTGTGCTACCCGGAGATTGTGTCATTCACATGTTAAAAAAGGGGGAAAAAAAGCAATGAATAAATTGCAAAGACTATTGTCTGTAGATCCCATCCAAAATCATCTGTTCTTCTAAACCAGGAGCCCTGTTGTTTCTTTATTGGCAATCCAAATTGTAGAGAAAACCATTGTTATTTAACAAAAGAAAACACACTAAGGCGTGTGATGCTGACTGAAGCATCACTTTTCTTCATACTTTGATCATCCCTGCATATATCCGACCCCTGCGAGGGTTATCTGTGGTATTTGGGGCTGCAGGAGTCGTTTGGAATTCATGAGGTTGAGCCTGAAGTCTGTTTTCAGTTGATCTGGCTCAGAAGATGAGATGCTTAACATGGTAGGAATTCAGTCTACTTTTATCTCCTGCTTTTTAAGATGAATCTGCTATTTTAGCTGAAGCTGCGAGTGCGAGTCTGCAAGGGAGGGAAAGTCTTTACATTTATTATAGGTGTGTGGACACAAGCACTGATTAGGAGCCTTCCCAGCATCTCTGCCATAGGCTCAGTTTTTGTATTTTTATTTTTCAGCCGTGCAGTGGAATTACAGCATGAGAAAATATGAATACACTCGATGCACTCAGAGGAAATGGCCCAAATGCCATGACATTTGGCCACATCTAGATCTCATGAATTATTCATGAGTGAAAGATCTAACACCAGGCCTGATCAGACAGTGAGAATGGGCACCCCTGGGATGTTTGCAATTCAATAAATATTGGTTAACCCTACAAGCATGGATTGTTACAACGAGAGTAATCTCAAGAGCTGCTTTGTGTTGGAGATATGCAAAAGTTTAACTAGGAACATCAGGGAGTCCCAGACAGACCATTTGCCTCTGACTTAAACTACCACTGCTACTACTCCTAATAAGAATAGTATTATTATCAGTAGTAGTAGTAGTAATAATAATAATACATTAAGTGACAAATTAAAAAAAGAAATAAGAAGAAATGTCAATAAAAGTGCAAATGTTTGCATTCATTGTAAAACCAATATCAAAAACACCCAAATGTTTACACATAGTTTTCTTTAAAGAGTAATTTGATTAAACAAGCTCTGCTTTAAATCATTTAAGCCATAGAAAAACATTAAATCATATTAAAAACCATATTCAAATGAAAGGTCGAAATGGATTATTGTGATGTAGGTATAATGTAGCGATAAAGAAAGTTTCTCAGCCTGTTTTATGTTGAATTTTTTTACTAATTCTTTTGTCAAGGTGTGGCTAGTGCTAGCTTTTACAAGCTGCTTATGCTGTCGTCTTAAATGATTGCACTCATGTAAAATCAAAACACAACCTGCTGAAATTAAAATGAATGGACAGTGTAACTCGCCAACATTCCTTATTTTATCTTGTGGAAGAGGTTCAGGAAGGTCTGTACAAAAGAATAATTATCCTTTTTTTAAAGTAAATTCCTGAAGGAAGAATATTAAAATGTTAACTTAAGCTGAATATGTATAAAGCAGTGACATTGAAGAAGATTACACAGAGATGGAGGGAAGAAATGAGAAGTGTATAGAAGACAGATTGAGAAAGTGGAGCGGAGGAAGCTATGCGGCATGAAGTCTCAAGAGGAGTTTTGGCTGAATGTACTTCACTAGAGGATGGGGCTGTTTGAGGAGCCTGAGCAGATGAAAAAGAAGTTTGGGCATTAAGCGTCAGAGCTCACTGTACATTCAGGCGTATGGGAGACTAAACATGCCAAAGTTTAAATCTACATAACTCCTGGAAGAGATTTTTCAAAGGCAGCCCTGTAAGTTTTGTGGACTTGACGGCAGTAAAATAGCTGACAAAAGAAGGCCTTTCTATGAATGAAAAGTAGGAGAACTTCCTCAGAGCCTGTGAAGGGCTCCAGGCTGGGATATTTAATCAACAAGAAAAAAAAATGGAAATCAGAAAGCTGACAACCCGAACTGACTAAAAATATGAGGCGAAAAAAGCTTAACTTTTCCAGTGAAGCAAATAGATTTTACTTTATGACTTGATTAAGAAGGATTGAAATTCAGGTCACAGAATGTGAAGCCCAGGGATGTTTAATCTAAGGGAATGGTGCTCAATCAACTTATTTATTTCAATAGAGCAGTAGCAGCTTCAGAAGCTTCTGCTCCTGTAGGCAGGCCTTCACAAACTGAAGACACGCTGGTTTTCAAGACGCTGAAAGAGAAGTGCAAGAGCAGCAGAGATCAGAGTCAAAATATATTTTCCCTGTTAGACGTCCTTTCATCTGCTTGAGAGTCGACATTTACCTTCAGCACTGGGTGGAGAAGGACCCGGAAGATGGCTTTGCAAATTTAACTGAAAAAAAGATTTAACAAAGTTAACAGACTTTTAAATGTGAGGCATGTTTTTTTTTTATTTTCAAGTTGCTCTTTTTGAGAAGATTTTCAGGCTTCGAAAATATTATCAAACCTAAAATGAGTTCTGTGAACAAGATAGATATCGCATAGCAAAAAGGGATCAAGGTAATTTTGAAAAGAACTAAAAACTGTAATTCTGCTTGCACACTCTATATCATGTGTCCAGTCTTTTAGAGTCAACAACCAACTTTTAAATGCATCATATGTTCCAGCACAGCTGAATAAAAAAAACAGCTCATTACCAGGCATCTACAGAATCTGGAGACACTCTGAGGACATAATTCAGACACTATCATATCTAGTGCAAGCTGTGTATGGGATCAGAGCTACTCCCCACTAACATACTTAACCTTCAGAATGACCCACAGTCTGAAGCAGAGAACGTTGAATTCTTTTCCAAGTAAACACAGAGTTTCTAGTTTCTCAGTTCATCAAGTCCAACCAGATGGGTCCTCTTCTTTCTAATTTTACATCCATGTGTCCAACTAACCCCTTTGAAACATGCCAAAGCAGACTTTTTAGCTTTTAAAAGGCATTTATGTCTATATTTGGAGACTCAAGGAGTTTCCAGAGGAACATACTCTGGTTAGTCTTCTGTCCAAGTTAGTTCTTTTTCTTTTCTTTTTTTTTTTTGCTTTGGATTTCTTCTTGAACTTTCTTTATGGTTTCCTTTCCTGTTTGTTTATGTTTAGAAATCTCAACCACATTATGAAATGAAACAAAAACTCTGACCACATCTAATACAAACTGGAGATGGGTTATTCATTTTCCAACTTTCTGACTTATTTTTCTTTCAGTTTTGGCTCATAAAAGACTGATATTTTGCTGGAATAAAAGAAGCCTCCCACTCAAATGCCTTGCTTTGAAAATGGTGCTCAGGGTCACTCAAAATTATGTTAATCAAATATAATTAACAGGCTTTTTTATCATCGTCATCCCATTAGACCCAACTGAAAGACCATATTTCAGCGACTTGCAAAATCTCACGCATATTTGAACAAATTATTTAAAATCATATACAAATTTATGAAACATACATGCACACACTGTAAAATAGGCTGGTAATTGAAATTAGCAAATTTTCACTCAAATCTCAAAATACTAAAGACAATTAATTTGGCTATACAAAAGCAAATCTGGCAATGTATTTCAATGCTTCTCTGTGTTCATTTGGAAAAGACTTGAACTTTCGCTGCTTCAGACTGTGGGTCATTTTGAAGGTGAAGTATGAAAACAGGGAGTAGCTCTGATCCCTTTCACAGCTTACACTAGATGTGACAGCAGTACGAGCTTAAGGGCTGCAATTAATCACAAATAGTTCCTTCTTTAAGAGTCAGGGCCATGTAGGTACAGTATGACAAGCCTCTCTGGTTCGACTAAAAATAGAGATATTTGAAGAGGCAGAGATGCTGTATGCCTTGTTTTCATTAGTTTACAGTAATGATGCCCCGAGAAACCAACTTGTGACGATAATTGTCTGATTTTCATTTTGATATCCACTCATCAGTGATCAGCCGCTGGGGATTCTTTTTCCAATAAATGAACTACGTCTTGCTGACAAGAATTGTTTTAAGAAGCTTCTTAAGAGGAAACTGCATCACAGAAACATATCAACTGTTCATTCAGGCTTTTACACAGAGCTAGATTGTGTTGGCTGTTTTAAACTTATTTTAATGAGATACCTGAGAGACACTCTTGTAGTGACCACATTTTTCTCTAATTTTACAGAGAAACATAGCATTACCCTTTTGTAACTCAATGTAATCATAGTGTAAACTAACCCCAGTCTATGCTGGAATATGGATGTAAAATACCCAACTTGACAGTGTTCTTGGTCGACTTGCTAATTGTTGTGCTCAGTCATCAGGCTAACTACTAGTCACCAGTAGCTGGCAATACAAGCTAATAACATTGTTTACTTCTGCAAATTATACTTTTAGCCAATGATCACTAAAATTAGCTGTATGAACCTGTGTGAGTTAAAGATTTGAGGAAAAACAAGCATTTCTTTAGTCAGAGTGGAGAAAAATATTTTCAAACACTACTGCTTTAAAACCACTGTGTGACACAAAGACTACTTAAAATGTATTCAGGGCTACTTGTTGAAAACCATTTAAGGTTATATAGAAGTAATGCTATGTGGGACAGTTGTGCCAGCTGCTAAAATTAAATGCTAATGATAGCTTAAAGTGCAAATTCAAAATCAAAATGAATAAAATGCTGATTACAGGAACAGATCTCACAGACAGAGAGTGAATTAATGATCCCTCATTGCAGTAGTTTGGCTAAAAACATATTAAATGCTGTAAATTCCAACTCTTAGAACTTTTTGTGAGAAGATCAAAATGTTCCTAAATTGCAGATATTAGAATTTTGTCTCTAATCTCATTCGTGCATTTCTACTTGGGAAACAATATTGTTTAATTTCTTTTATTGTAGCTGAAACAGAAGAGAGACAAATGACAGCCAGCTTGCTCTCTGAGGGTCATACACCTTTAAGAAAAAGAAGACAGCAGTTCCCCAGAAGACAGAATAACAAGTGAGTCTTGCAGACTGCAGCGAAACACTGATCTTCTGTCTGATGCAAGGTTCCTCTTCAAGGAGCAATTTAACTTCCATCTTCACTCAAGCACTCACTCCTTCCTTGAAATTCGGGGGTAGAGAGCAGGTTATGTCACAGATTTGATTTATAGATTCGACAGCAATACACGGTCGAGAGGAAAAAAATCTAAAAATGATTAAAGTTTTTCCTCAGTGTCCTCATGAACCCTACCTTGCAGTTCCTGCTTTTCCTTGGGAAATGAAAACCAGGGGTATTTACAGTGCGTGGGCAGGCATGTGAATGCACGTCTAACCTCTTCAGCCTCTCTGGGACTGTAGGGCTTGCCCTCTTAAAGTAGATCAGCTTGAAAAAGAACCATGCCTACGTCGTTGCCTGGATACAAAAAGCATCATTAGGCACAATTATCAGCCACTTCAGTGCACAATAAACAAGCTTCATCACTGATTTGACAACAACGCGTCATGTAGGACTTCAGTGTATACAGAGCAGCAAAGAGGGGTGTGGAAAGAAGGTGAGGCCAAAGGTCGAGACCTTGGAAAGGTATCAAAGGAGACCCTTTGATGAAGAAAATGTAGGATATATTTCAATAGTAGATGGAGAAATCTTCTTGTTCATAAGAAGACACATTCTGTTTGTGAGGTTTCTGTAAATTATGAGAAACAAACTGTGCAAACAAATGATTTGCCCAGTTTGATTATGGGGAGCATTTGATAAAGAAAACAAGAGTATGGACAAAAGAGCGCCCAGTCGAAAAAAGAAACCAGGCAACCCAATTCATCCATCCTCATTATGTTGTGTGCCTGCCTGAAGCTACTTTGGGCTTCAAATTAAAGAGAGTAGAGTTCTTGTCCAATACACGACCCAGAGAAATAGATAAAAGGAACTGAAAAAAGTCTAAAATAAAACAGTTTGGGGACAGAGAGGTTCACTTCAACTTTCTGCAAGTTTTCTTCCACATGAAGCTGGTGATGCTCACAGAAAAGTTCCACAATCTCTTATAAATATATTCAAAAGGCTTCATAATCCAAATTGTCAAACTCGGGGGAGTGACAATAATAGATGATATGACTGTTCAAAATTTAGCTTAAAAGGGCCAATAATACTATAACGTAGCTGGTAGTTGGGTATTTTTAATGGATTCGCTCTTGCACATCTTTTCATCTTCTGCCTAAAGCAAAGGGTTTTAACTACTGTCTCGTTTGGTTGGAAAGAGTAGGTTGTATCACAGTTACTCAGCTTATTGTTTCATGTTTCATCTCAAAACATACAAATGTGTAAACATGGTGTGTTGTTTTCAATGACAAATACATTTCTATATTAAATCAAGGTTTACTTCTTTGTAATCTTGCTTAAAAACATGCTAACTTCACTGTAGTCACATAATGTCCAACAGTTTAATTTAGAAAAGCAAATGTGTACATAATTTGGGAACATTTATTCACATTTAAAAAGTACTTTTACACAGCAGTACTTCACTTAATAAAAAGTCCAGTAAAATAGATTTAACTTAATCCCATTAAAATATTTGATATTTTCAACGTTAATGAAAATATTTAAAATATAAGACCTGCTTTGAGGAGGTCTTATAATACACATTTTTATGTGTATTGTAATACAAGTTACAATACCTGTATTTTGAAAAATACGGGTATTACAATGTATGATGTGTTACAATGTATCATGTGTTATTAATGCATTTCAGAAAAGAAAATATTACAGTTAAACCTAATCAATGGGTATTTGGACTCCAGATTGACTAAACAACTCATTTCACCAAATTCCCAGTTGGGAATCCTGTGCATGTCGTAAATGGAAAAGATTTATTTGTGCAGAGTCTTATATAAACATTCATTAACATGATAGCATGCTCCAAAAATAACCTTTTTAAAGGTTATAAAGTCTTGTATTATGCGTGCTGAGAGGTTCAAGCTCACACTTACTCGTATTAGCAATGTACTGAAAGTCACTTTACAATACTAGTGTAATCAATATGATTTGAATACATATATACCTCAAACTAAATAGGGAGCGAGTAACGTGTTGATGCGTGTGTACTCAGTTTTTAGCAGTCCAAAGATAATTAACACCCACCTGCAATTAATGATGCTGATTGCTAATGCATCTAACCAAATTTGTATCTTGCATAGTAATCCAGAACTTAATCTGGTTTCAGATTTAGACACAAATTTAAAAGTCTGATTATACATTTTCCAATGTTATTCTCCCAACTCAGAGCATCGATGTTTATAAAAACAATTGGTAACAACTCTAGCAATCAGCAATTGGAAACCTTTCGAAAATGCATTTAGTGTTTATAGTGTTTTTTTTTCTCTTTGCTACCTTTCCCTTCTGCACATAAATATTGAAAATGCTCTGTTAATGGGGGCCCACACACGCAGTTATTGTAGTTCAAATGGCTTGTGGAGAGCAAAAATATATTTCACCACTCTCTGCTGAATATCATGCAAGTGGCCAGGAATGGAGGCTATATGGGCCATGCTGAAAATTAATAATGAAATGGAGAGAGAGAGGAAAATAAAGGGGGGGGACTTAGCTGACAGATAAAGCAAAGTGAACACACACACCAGTGCAAGATGAAAAGTGTGTGCTGACCTTTTGCTTTCATTCCTGTCATGGTCATTTATTCCTGCCTTTGAAGTCTCTCTCCTCCCTGTCGTAGATCAAGTCAAGACACAAGAACGCCATGAACCAAATACAAATCAGCCTCTCTCTCCTCTAACAGACGTCTCCTTGCTCCTCACACTCGGTTCTGAGCAGTGATTTGTGATGGAACATTACAAACAGTATTAATACACAGAGGAGGAAGGTTGCCGCTCGGTTGTCATTGTGAAAGCTGATTATGAGGGTTTAATTTCATCAGATAATGCCTTCATTTATGAGGAGACACTGCTGGAGGGAAGAGGTCTGACAGGCTTTCAATGTTACAAGCACTCCCCCTGCTGTTCATTAAAATAGTGGGGGAAGAACATTTCTCAACTGTAGTAGGTGTCATTTACTTATATGGTTGAAAAAAAGTTATTAATTTTAGTTTGTACTGTTTGTAGACAGGAGTTATGTGTTTTTTTATCTTTAACCATGTTCTTTTAAAATAGATAGTTTTATACTAAGCATAGAGGTTCATTTTTTTTTCTTTTTCACAACATGAAATAAAAATGCGGAAATTGTATTAATTTGAATAATCTTCCCTAATGAGATTTTAAGTGATTAAACAAGCCATAGATCTGGCTAATTTCTAATTAGATGGCAAAGAATATATGACTTTCTAAAGGTTTTGCAGGTAATCTGAAAAATTTACATCATTGCACATCAAGAAACTAAAATGTTATTTTTTTTTTGCAAAATAGCTTAAGCTGTGTCAAACCGAGTGGAGAGTGTCTGTGACCCAAATTTTCAGTTGGGTTTGGGTTGTTGTACTACCAGTTTAATCTCTGCTAGTATTGCATCTTTCACAGTATATTCATATTACATCTCACTTATTATTCCTGCTTATGAAAAGCGTCCTCAACACTTGATGTTACCACAGTTCTTCATAGTGGGCTGTGGATTGTCAGATGTTTTGCATCCAACCACTCATTTTCTATGCCTACTTATTGTTGCACAGCTAATAGTTGTTTTGTCAACATATAGTTTTCCCAGTTTTACTGAATTACCTCAGACTTGAAGGAAAACATTTCTTTTAATAAAAGTTTTGTGTAGTGTAAGTTCTTTAGTGAAGAAGAAATCCGGTTATGTCTTTCATTTAAGTAAAGGCTAATTGGAAGTTAGATAAGAATATTAGTGAAAGCTCTTTTGTCAGCAATATTAGACATTATGAAAAAGAAAGCCAGAGGTCATTTAAATAATTAATGCTGGACTCTTTTGAGTTACCACTGCTTGGGAATAGAAATCATTTCTCTTTCTTTTCCTCCATGTCATAACATCAGCCAGAATGTCAGGAATGGACGTCCTGCTGGTGGACAACAACAAGACTGGAGTCACCCCGATAGACAATGGGACATTTCTCCGTTTCTCCCCGACGTCTGCCTCCACGTCGGCGGCTGCATCGTCCCCAGGAAGTCGCCAGGGCAACGTTTATGTCTACGTGTGGCTCTTCCTCGGGCTGCTGGTGTTCCTGCTGACGCTGCTCATCATCTCCCTCCACAGGCTGAAAAACATCATCTCATCGTCTTCCTCAGTTCCTGACTGCAGCAGCGAGGGAGGAAGCTCCTTCACCAACATGGAGATCTGCAGCATCTCCTCTCAGAGGTCCTCCATTTCTGTGCTCTCCACCTGAGCAAGCTTGCAGTGTGGAGACTCATGTATAAATGCGCCGTTTTCTCTTTACAGGCTGAGAATGCATGCAAAACAAACAAATAAACCAACAAGAAAAACTCCACAAGACCAGCTGATGGAATAAGAATATCCTTCCATGCATGCATACTTTAATCGTGGAGGTTCAGTGACACTGATGTCTGTATGCAATCTGCATAGCTACCACAAAGGTTACAAGGGTTAAAAGTCAACATATCCTGCTAAACCTGACTTGAACAACAAAAAATGAACCTGGTAAATACTTTCCCATTGCAGGGAAAACACAAAGTGAAAGACAATTATCCTTTTGTGTTGACGTTTTCTGTCTTTAGAAGCTTTGTAAATCATATTCTGATTATATCTGTAGATTAGTCTACAAAACCCAGCATTCTAAATTATTAAATATCTGAACTTTGTAAACAGGAGTGTGCATCTGTGGCTTGGTTGAATTCACACCAAGGCAACATATCACCCAGTAGAGTGAAGTCAAGAGGCAACACAAAGAAGAACATTTACAGAACAGAGCAGGTCAATAGTAGCAAAAACTATAGGATGAATTTCTGGCCTTGATAAGCAGATCTGCCTGCGGTACCTCCTGCCTCCTGTCAGCTCCCGTAGAGCCTGACGCCAGCCTGCAACAAACCTGAAGCACAAGGTTTCTCTCCAGCTGTCAACCCTCATCTGTACTCCAGGATGACAACCCGGCAAAGGTTGTTTTCGCTGTTCAGCAAGTCAAAGAACTGGTTGGCACAGTTGAAGTGAAAAGAAAAAAAAAAGAGACATGGATCTAGTTGAGGGTGGAGAAAATATAAAACACATTCACTTGATGTCGAAGTGGATAGGTGGGATCTGGATAACGGATAAACATGGCTAATCTTAAGCCTGTTTTTTTTTTTTTTTGAAAGAAAAAAAAAAACAACATGAAAATCACAGCAGCACTCAGGCAAAGATATTTCATATTTTTTTATTTCAGTAGCATAATCTGACTGAAGAATTTAGAAAAGAATCCAAAGTTGAATTTCAGTATTTCTTCAGTGAGGAACCAAATCCCAAGTTTCATAATTATTGCATACAATACCAACAAACACCTTTTGTCAAACAGCATTATTTAAAACATCCTGGTATTTCAAAGAGATCATGATGCAGCCAAAAAAAGTTTCCCTAAACTTTTGAATAAGATCATACAGAGCCAAAACACCACAGCTCTACAACGGTACTTTACACTGGGCATGAGGTGGGCACATATTTAATCTTTTTAACAATCCCATCTGTAAATGTTTGTTTAAAAGGATCTTTTGCTGTACAATTGTCCCACCAATTTTTTTCTGTTTTTATTTTAGGATTTAACTGAGTTTATGTAGGAAAAACAGACTAAAATAAGGAATAGTGATAAAAACACAAGGTGAACTTACCACTGTTCTGGTTGTTTTAAGCTTATTAATTAATGCTTGAAATGTCATCATGAACAAGTGAGTAGATGTTTTTCAGTACCTATTGCTTGAAGAGTAAATATCAACCCAGATTCTCCTGTGTTTCTTATTTAGAGAGTTATATTTAAATCTCAATAAAGCAGAAAGTCAAGGAGTACTATATTTAAATTAATTAGTGTCCGAAATATTAATTAGATGCTTTGTAAATCATATCCTGATTGATTTACAAATCAGAATATGACTTCTCCTCGTCAAATCACATCCAAAAATTGTTTAAGTGAAATTTTTAAATTTCAATTAAACATATAAAATAAAAATGGAAAAAAAAACCCAACAAATTACTGATGTTGGTCATCTCCACACCCACAAACTTAATTTACTTAGATTTTACAGTTTTATAATAATTATGCTACTGCAATAAAACATCGCTTCTTTTAGGATTTTTACACATCTGTAATCAGTAACTGTTTTGTATCTTGAATGTACAACTGGAACTAATTTCTCCTTTCAAGAAAATTGATAGACATACAGACAGACAGACAATATGCTAAATTAAAAGTCCAGACCTCAAATTCTTTGCATATTTTATTTTTCTTATGATTTTTTCCCAACTCACACATGTCATATTTTACATCTTTGCAATAAAACATGAATACAATAGTTTTTTTTTTACGGTTTCATAGATCCAAAAATATTTAAGCTTTTTTTTTTTTTGGATACGTAAGTTTGAACCTGTCAATAGGAGTATGTGCATGTGCGCATTTGATCATAATGGCTTCACACATACAGTACGTGTCACACGCTTTCCTCTCTCCTCCCCCAGCCCGCCGTCTTCTCTATCAGCTACAGAATCATGATATTGCTTACAACTGTGAGGTTGTAAAACTGAAGAATCACTCATGAGCTCAACGGTTTTTAAATACAAACATCAATGCACAAATAATCCCCGAAGGAAGAAAAATTAAATAAAAAGTGGAGCTGAAGGCAGTCGACCAGAAAAACCAAGCTAATAAATAATATGTGATTGGTGCAAAGTGCAGATACAAAACAAACTAGTTGATTCTCTTTTTTTGTCATTTTCTTACTTAAAATAATCAACAAATGTGGGTATGTGAAGGTTTCCTTTGCACTTTCGGTCCCATTCAGCCCAGTAAGTCTCCTGCCAAGCTTGAATCAAGACTGTATGTACATATTTGACAAAACAATCACCAAATATACAAAGGAAATTATGTCTGTCTCATATTTGTCATCTTCAGTGGCACGGAAAAAGAGCTCTTTGTCATATCTGTCTCCAGCAAAAATGAACCAAAAGGGAAAAATAAATCACCATCCTTGATGCCACCATTTTTACCATCAGTCTCGTCGACATTATAATAATTATTACACAGTATTTTACATACAGCAAGTCATTAATAAATTAAAGGTGAGAAGCGCAGTTTGTGTAGTGAAAGAACAAGTGCAACTCTGAAGGAAGAAGAGCCTTATTTACATAAAATCTGATTTGGGGTTTAAAAAAAACTTAGGCAATTAAAATGAAACGAGATAAAAACTAAATCAACACTCTGGGTAATTTCTCAGGAGAAAATTTAAGATTGAGCCAATTTCACCGGCTTCTGGACAACAGTTACAGGCTGGTGCGTTAGTTTAGAGACAAGAAAAGAATTTGAATTTATAGTTCACCCAAATAATTAACAAATACAACTCAGTGACGTCAGAATTCAAACGAGAAAAAACCCAAAAGGAAAAAAAGACTTGAGTATGTGTGATGATTTAAACGTACCAGGAACAGTGAAATCGATCTGTCCCGTGAGGATCGACATCTGCTTCACTGGCTCTCTGCTCCTATGATGCAGTCACTGTGTTGTATTATTGAAGCAGATTTCCGTGCGTATCTTCTTATTATGCGTCTGTGGTTACACACGTGTGCACATAGGAAACCATTCCCACTAGCGCAGTCGCATCCTCAATGCAAGGGAATAGAGCCTATAGGTCTGAAACTAAATTTTCCTTTGTCTCGGTACCTGTGGTTTCCCCCCTTCGTGTTGCTGAGGCACAGCAGCGATGCAGAACTCCTTCCCTCGTCCAACTCAAGCCATCCGCCTCAGTACCTGTTCTGGTGTTCGTAGTGCCAGCGGTTGAAGTCGATGTTGAACGCTACGATGCTCCCAGAGGCCATGCCGGTGATTAAAGTCCTGTGGGGCAGAACGCGCGGGAGAAACACATCAACAGCAACATCAACAGGACTCATTTCCACAGGAAATAGGAGGCATCTGTGTATTACACAATAAATAATTAGAGTTGTGAAAAAGCATTTCCCGTTCTTACAGGTCTCTTCTTGTTCTTACTTTTTGATCACATTTAACTTTCCTGCCTTAAATTTTTTAAATAAATATACTTTATCAACGACAAAATTACTATCCAAACTCACCTGGTCCCTTGTGGAAAAATCAACACCCTTTGTTTATCTCAAATTAGGCAACTACAAAAGTCAAGCTTAATCTTAATAGCCACACCAAGTACAGATTACTAGCAGACCTTCAGAATCAGGAAATCACTTATGTAAGTTAAAAACATTCAAAACAAATTAACTGACAGCTATTAGTCTGAAAATACAAATAGCAATTGTAACACTTTGATTTTACAAAAGTGAGACTTGGTGGAGAAAATGTGGAAGTGACCGGCTTCTACAAGTTAACAATGATTTGCTGTAATCTTTCAATTCTGCTCTTCACCAGAAAATTCTTACGGCCAACGTCCAGATCTCAGATTACCTGGCCTTGGGTTATATAGCAGGATAACAAACTGAAGCAAACTGAGAAATCCACCAGTGAATGATTGAGGTAAACAACAGCCATGGATTATAGCAATTTTCTAAGTAAAACTCCACAAAGACTCATCAAAGCAGTTGTTGCCAAGGGTGTATTAACTGGCTACTGGTTTTAAGACAGTGTGTTTCTCTCTTTATGGAATGGGATGATCTTCATGGGAATCGCTCAGGCTCAGCTGGTCAGACTTCACGGCTCCGTTTGAACTAAGCCTGCTATCTCCTGCCTTTCTGTGTACCTCTGGTCATGCGAGAGGTCCATGGCCCGGATGCCGGCGTCACAGCCTGGATAGATGTAAAGCTGTTTGAAGTCACAGGCCTGCCACACCTCCACCACTCCGTTGTCCCCTCCAGTCACCAGGTTCTGCCCATCACTGCTCAACAAAATGGCCTGAGGAGAGGTGCTAGAGGTTAAACAAGGTTTGATATGTGGATGAAAAACTACATCCTGTTTATGTCAATAGCAGACTTACTCGAGAGGAATCATTGACTTCCATTTGTGCCAGCAGTTTGCCATTTATGCTGAAGTTGCAGAAACGACCTCTCTCGTAATAAATGATACAGTGTCCCTCACTGGACACGGAGATGAGGCGAGGCCGCAGGCAGAGCTCTGGACCCTCCAGGGCCCTCAACAGGTCGCCTGTGATGGTGTGGACCAGGCATGGGCCCTCTGGGGAGTGACAAAAAAAGTAACTTAATAATGTCAAATTGTTTAGAGCCAAACCATATTAAGATCATAAATGTTCTGGAGGGCCACTTCAGCCAGAATGTACTGCTGAAACCCATTAGCAAACTGCCCAAACAATAATAAATAGCAGTCCTTGCATTCAATAAGTCCCTATTAAAATTAAATAACATTTAACATTTTTTAATTCTGATCAGTCTCTCCAGGTTTTTATGATTGTTTTTGTGACTTTTTTTAATCAAAATCACAGATTTTGCAGTGCTAATTTAGATACATTTGCAAGTAATTTTGCAATATTTACACTTAAATGGGACTTTGATTGTGAATTATAAAGTGACACCAAATAAGTCTGAGGCAGCAGTGGAGTAAAGATACAGCAGTATTTTTACTGCTGTATTTTTTAGCTTGTGGGAGTAACTTAACTTAAAATTGCACAAACTGACAATTCTGCATTATTATGAAAAATGCAGAGTGAATTTCCATGATCATGGAATTTTGAAAAACTGGAGGGACTGATTGAAGTAATCTGGTGTCTGTAGTCTAGAGGGCAACATAAAAAGCTATGGCGAGCCAGATTTGACATCCCAGCCACAAGCTTGACATGTGATTTAGTGTTTGCTTGATTTCAGATGAATATATAAATGTCACAAACCTTTGGCTCCACTAATAACCAGTCCCAGCTCTGCGCAGACAGAAACACACACCACTTCATGGTCATGTCCCGTCAGCACCGCCCTGGGAGCCGGGTAGTCACCTGGACAAAAAAATATACATATATTATCACAAAAGCAAAGCTCTGAAACTCTTCACATCCTCAGAATAACCCACAACAACCATCTCCACCACGACCTCACTCACTGTTATTAGGGTTATCTCCTATAATATGATGTCGTCCACTCCAGTACCACAGAAGAAGAGTAGCGTCTCTGGAGCCGGACACGATGTAGCAGTCTCCTCCGATGTAGGACTCTGACCGGGCCAGGCATGTCACCACGTCCCAGTGGCCAAAAACAATCTGGGTTAGTTTTCCTGCAGAGAGGAAGAGGGAGGACACTGTAATCAGCGCGCCTTCTCTGCTAACACGATGGAAGTTCATGGCAGCTTAACTTGGGGATAAAAATAAATCATTGTGGAACGAGAAACAAGCAGGTTTTTTTCTATCTGTAATAAACAAGCTTTACAAGCTAAATAAAACAAAACATGTTGGTTAAATATCCACATCACCAACCAGTTTCAGTCGAGTAAACTCGGAAGCTCTTGTCCCAAAAGCCACAGACCAGTATGTAGCGGTTGTCGGCGGTTACCACAAAGCAGTGGGTGTTAATCTGGATACTCTGGTCCACCAGGTCAGTGATCTGTCGCTTGTTTACACCTGAATTATTTGCTGCATGGAAGAACAGGCAGGTTAACAATGCAAAAAGGAAGACAGTATAGCATAGTTTTGTAATTAGCCATGTTATAAATGTGATTTTTACACATCTGCAAACGTACAGTTCAGTCTTGAACATATGCTAGCATTGTTCTTAACACCATAAGATGTTGAAGTGAAGAAAAGGATGTGCGATTTCTTTTTTAAATTCCAACCTTATGCTTGCACATAATTGTTGTTTTCCGCAACAAAACGACCCAAATTATTGAAATGGGAAACACAAAGGAACATAGAAATGACAAAAAGCAGATGCTTGTAGTTCCTTAATAAATCAGAAATAACCACTCAAGTACAATTGCTTATATTAGCCTTCCTCCATGCCAATTACGGTTGATATACCAAAATCATATAGTGATATACTGATACAGTGCATCTGTCCTCTTAAAACTGCTACACAAATGTTTGTCCACTGACCTATGAGAGGATCCATTTCTATGGGTAGATGATGAGCCTGTTCCAGAGAGTATCCTGGAGCACCACGGAGGCCTGATTGGACAGATACTACAGTCACATCTCTGTATGAGGGATTTTTGTCAAGACAAAATAAAGTTCCTGCACTGCTCACCGACTGTGTTGTGCCAGCGGTTTACAGCAAATAGCCGGCTACACGTGACGGTGACGGCCGCCGGGATGCTGAGGTGGGGCAGCGTGTTGGCTGCAACATGTGTGACGGGAGAGTTGGAGGGGAACTTGAGCACCATGATGACATCCTGCTGCATCTGATCCTTAAACATCAGAGGGCTCTGGGGAAGGAAACACTGGTGAGACAGACAGAGAGGAAAGAGAGGAAAGGACAGAAAGAGAGAGCGAGAGAGCGACAGAGGAGGGAAAGTAAAGGAATACAATGGAGGAAGGGTTGGAGATGGAGGGATAGGGAAAGACAGAACGGATGGGAAAGAAGGGGGGGAGGGAAAAGGTAAATTAGTGGGAGCACAGGGTCAGAACAGGTTCACACACTGAGGAGGCTTGAGAGCTAGGAGAGGAGGTGGAGGCACTGGCTGGTCGGGTTTGGGACTGACAGGTTTGGGTTTGACATGTGGAGACACCGAGGCCTCACACTGCTGAGGTCAAAGGTCTAAAACTGAAATCATAAACATTATTATATGCTGTTGTACGTAATAAAACCTCACTTGACAAAATAATCAATTCAGAAAATGCATAAGAGTTTTTGTTTTTTAAAGTCTTTAAAAAACACGCCTGCTGTAGTCTCACCAGGTGCATGGCAGAGGAGCGAGGCGGGTGCGGCTCAATCAGCAGCTGGGAGGGAACCTGTCCAGAGACCTGAATGTGAGTCTCAATCACCTAAAGACAGCAGAGACAGAGACAATTTTAAATAGAAAGTTACACATATATTAAAGAAATGAATTCAAACAAGTGCTTAATTAATAAACCTAATAAACAAAGTTCTTTAGGAAGGGGAGTTATCAAGGACATAGGCAAATCATTACCTGAAATTGATCATTTTGTGATTTTACAAACACAAACTACAGTGTATTTGACCAAAACAGAAGACAGAAAAAAATAATTTATATTAAGATTAAACATTCAGGTGGAATCATTTAGGTTATTTCTGAAGGCAGTTGCTTAATCCAGATTTTACTTAGGGGTATTAGAGTTAAAGGGGTTGTACATGATGCTTTCAAGACTTCTATTTCTAAAATCTAAAAGACTTCTATATCTAAAAGATATGCATCTTTTTTCTTTCACTTTACAATTATCCACTAAACGTGTCAGTCCATCATTTACATCAACAAAATACAATTAAGTTCAAAGTATATTTCAAGATTTTGGGGGAGATTAACACATCAACTCCATTTTTTATTCAAAATATACCAGTAAGTACATGTACAGTTTTATGAATACAGTAATCTACTTTATCACTTAATTGTGAAGCTAAAAAACTAGATTTTAATTCATTCTTGATAATGTGTGAATCTATCAACCTCTCGCTGTGCAGCATCCAGGTTGTCCAAGTTTACAGCTCCCTCATAGGACAGGAAGTTGAAAACGTTGAGAGCTCGGACCGCTTCTGGCCCCCGCTGCTTATAGCCGAAAATGAGATCGATCCACTGGTGAAGCTGACACGAGACAAACTCACTCTCCAACGCCTGAGTGGAGAGAGAGAGGAAAAGCAGAGAGTGAGAGGAGGCGAACAAGGACATAATTAGTTTTTGTCCACAGGTCGAGTCGAAAGGGACTTGTGTATTTCGGAAAAAAGTGTGCCCCCTACCATTCTGTTTATGCGGACAAAGTCTTCAGGTTTCTTTGCCCAGACAGGAAGCTCCACATCGCACACAGGAACGCCGTCATCACGCACGCCCAGTTCATACTCGTTACTGTTCACAAACATCTCAGGCAAGTAATAAAACTCTGGGATCAGCTCCTAGATGACATCAAATGCATCATTTTACTGTTCATCATTCAATCAATCTTGAAACTGTTGGATTAAAACCTGTTAACTGCTGTCGAGAATAGCCAACACAACTACTGTCATCACAAATTAATCAGTGCAGAGTGCTTGTGTCAGCATCAAATAATTAGACGAATCATTAAATAATTATGAATATTTGTCATAGATTAAATAAGCTGAAAATGGAAATACTATGTAATTAAATAAAGTGAGAAAATTGATTCCTTTTCATTTTAACTTTTATGTTAAAACAGCATATCATTATGTCAATTTTTGATGATTTTGTAGTTCCTGTGCAACTATCCACTAAGCAATAAATCAAACAGCTTGTCAAAGACCCCAGCATCTGATTGGCTCGCCTTTAAGCCAATCACATTTTATTTGAGGCCCACCTACAAACTGAGACACCGTATCTTTAAGAAACAAAGATACTAAGTGAGAAAATGAATAAAAAATAAAATGAGAAATAAATACATTTTTTAAATTATTTTGCTCTTGAAAAAAAATACTGCATAGTTAATACTTAAGAATTTAAGAAATTATAACTTTTTATATAATAATCACTACACTAAGTTCTAAATTAGAAATTACATATAAATTATTTTTTTCTCAAAAAGTGTGCACAATGTTTCAGCAATGAATAAATTCCAGCATGAATAAAAAATATTTATAATACACCTCTAGCCTTATTCAACATGAACAAATACTGTTTTTATCAATAATAGTCACATTTCTCTTCAGTACTCACAAGAAACATTTTTTAATTTCTGAAATACTTTGAAATAATTGGCTGTAAAAAAAATTTCTTTAGCTCACTGTTTTATCATGTCTCAGTGCTTTCAGGCAAATCAACTGCTGCCCTGAGTGACCTTTTCCCTCAGTCCAACAGGAGTTACCTTAACATCCGCTGTGTCCCTCTGGCAGTTCCTCCAGGCGCGACCGATGCCAGAGAAGGCTCTCTCTGGATGGTCAAATTTAGTGTCGTTGGCATTCAGAAAAAATGTGGTGAAGGGCTCCTAAGGTCAGAAAAATACATGGTGTTGCAGAGGAAGCCTTTAACATCCAAAATGTTTAGCGTGTGTAATGCAAACACTTACTATTCTGACCATCCACATCAGTGTGGAGTGAGCTGTGGAGTACAGGGTGGTGTAGTGGTGAGGGGGTGTGCTGTCATCATCCCATGTCTCATAGCGCTCTGCATAAAACGCCGCTCGCTTGGGATTCAGGGCACCGATTGGCTGGAAAAGACATACTGTTGCTGAAAACCTCTAAGCAGCATGCATGGTAGCATTACTAATATAAACAGACCTTTCTATGTTTTCATCATGTAAAGCACTTTGAGTTACTGTAAAGTGTTTTTCAAATAAACTTTGCTTTAACTATTTCAATTTTTTCCAAAAACTGTACTAAAACATGATCCTGACCTTGGAAAGGTCTCTGAAGTTGCCAGGCAGAGTGAGATCAAGCTCCTCTGAATCATAGTTGGTCAGGACCCAGGGGAAGACAGGATATTGGTTCAAATCATTATAGGTCCTCCCTACAGGGACAAATGTCAAAGAACCAATATGAAACTCTCCTTCACTTAAAACAAAGTCATGCAGTGAACACGTGTTTGTTTAGTTTATTAGAAATACAATGCCAGTTTACAGACATCAAATAATCAAATCCAGTTTTTGCATTTATTTAAGAATATGAAGGGCTCTTATATTTGGAGTAGAATGATTAAACAACAAATATATTCAAGTAATTTTAATAATTAATATTAGACGTATCTATTTTAATTTCTGATGAAAGTATCTGAGCCCATTAGCATAATTCTCTGTGGATTAGAAAAACTCACAATGAATTAAAACGTTGAATAATTTATAAACTTCTGACAGGCAGGATTGGTAGGAATATTCTACATGACATCAGGAAGTTAAAATCAAATGTCTCCTTTATTTTGTTTTATGTCAACATTTTAATATGAAGAACATTCTAGTTAGCCAAAAATGGGTGCAAGACTGGAACAGAAATCACAATAAAAGCTAAAACTAAAACATTTTATTATTCAACATGAATATATTAAAAACCAGAGTTTTAGCCATAAGTAATTACAGATAAGCCATTAAGATAAACATGGATAAAGTAAGTCAGAACATAATGGCAGTGGCACAATAAAAGCGGCACAGTACTAACAGGAAAAGTAAAAAAAAATAAAATAGATTCAAATGTTTTGACTAAGAACGGAGAGAAAATGCATTACACATATTTGTGAGAACACTGGATTGTAAAATTAATGTACCTGCAATAGTGTTTAGAAACATGAGGTACTCGAAGTTGGAGATCTCTCTCCTCTGCCAGCGCTGCGTCATGTTCGATGACTTGAAGAGCTGACGTGGAGTGGCCAAGGAGATACGCCTGAGATGTAATGCAAACAAACACAGGATTTTTATTTTTAGTCCTTTTCTCATCCTAAACTGATGTCAGATAACATGCATTTCACACCTGGCTTGTGGAAGTCCATAACTCGTTCCCACCCCGACCCGAGGGAGGCTGTAGACGACCCTTTTGACTGTGGCCTGGTCAGGAAAGTTAAACATCACAGATGCTGGAAAGAAGAAGAGAAAACATGACCGATATGTCAGAAATATTTAGTCCAAATGATTAAATTATGTACTTTCTGAAAAACTAATCATAAACTAATGGGTGGTACACATATAAATCCAAAAGAAATTAACTCAAAGCTATAAGCTATATATATATATATATATATATATATATATATATATATAGATAGATAGATAGATAGATAGATAGATAGATAGATAGATAGATAGATAGATAGATAGATAGATAGATAGATAGATAGATAGATAGATAGATAGATAGATAGATAGATAATAGATAGATAGATAGATAGATAGATAGATAGATAGATAGATAGATAGATAGATAGATAGATAGATAGATAGATAGATAGATAGATAGATAGATAGATAGATAGATAGATAGATAGATAGATAGATAGATAGATAGATAGATAGATAGATAGATAGATAGATAGATAGATAGATAGATAGATAGATAGATAGATAGATAGATAGATAGATAGATAGATAGATAGATAGATAGATATAGATAGATAGATAGATAGATAGATAGATAGATAGATAGATAGATAGATAGATAGATAGATAGATAGATATATATATATGACTATTAACAATTTCATAAAAAGTATGTTAGAAATAAGCTTACTCTGTGGTAAAATCATTGCAAACTCACTTCTGTTGGCCATAAAGACCTCCAGGCCTGTGTTCTGCAGCAGGTAGCGTCTGGAGAAGACGGCTCGGATCTCACTGAACATCCATTTCCCGTGCAAACCCTCTGAGTAAGCCAGCACCTGTTGAGGATGGACACCATTGTAGCACACAGGAAGCATCTCATCTTTCCTTCTACTATTGTCTGTCCACACCTTGATGAGGGAAAAAAAATGCTTTCTCTTACTTTTGCATCCATCTTCTTGAAAGTAGGATCCTCTTCATCAACTTCAAAGTAGATCTCTGTTGTGGTGATGGAGAGAGTGCCTCGAGCCACCACCACAGGGGCTACCAGCTGAGCAGGAGTGCTCAGAACCACAGGGCCTGCAGGAGCATGGGGCAATATTAAATTATCTATTCATTACCCTGACAGGCCAGAGGTCTATAGAAGCATCAAAGACATGGAAACATCAGAAGCATTTCAAACAGGCGAGGATTGATTTTTGAATCTGCATTTTCCACTTTGTTTGCACTATCTGATGTTAAAAGCATCAAGAGTTGATTTGTATCAGAATCAAATTTAGTAACTTCTGATTAAATCTTAACAGGTCAGGTGAATCAGCTGGGTGGTTAGTACAGCTGAACAAAAAACAACTTAAAGGTCCAACTTGCCTTTGGAGGTAAAAAGTCGCGGACGGAAACGAACTAAAAACAAGAGTCATATACAGTTTACTGCTCAGCATGAAGGCATGAGTGCCATGTTTTTTTTGCTGTTTTTTTTTTTGCCTTTGTTCGTCTCCACCTTACCAGCGAGGTTGTCGATCTCTTTCTCCTGCAGCAGACTGACGGCGTCATCGTCTCCCTCCAGCATCAGCTCCGCCTCTGGATTCTGGGTGACCACCGACTGACTGCGGAAGTTCTTCTTCGACTTAACACCCCCCTCCTCCTCATCCTCCTCTGTGCCTGTGTTACACAGTCAGTGAGAAGCTGCACAAAGTTGACACTGACAGTTTTTTTTTTTTAACAATAGAGCAAAATACTGACCGTACTCATCCAGAGTTTTTAGTGAAATGTCGGCATGTGTGGATCCAAAGGCATTTCTCACAAATCTTCTCCTCCTCCTGAGATCATCCTCCCAGTAATCCAAGCGCCAGAAGTCATGCAATTGGCTGAAGAAATGGGAGGGAAATGAGTATTTTTTCTAGTGGATAACAATCAAAGTGTGAATTCTAGAACATTTAAGAGATTAAAGTTTGAGATGAAGCTTTATCTCAAGAAGCCTTTCCAATTTTACAAACACAGCAAGCTAACTTTTAAGCAATAAAATCCCTCAAAGGTACTCATTAATCTGGAGATAAGGAAAAAATATAGACTTCGTGCATTTAAAAGACAAACAGTCAAAACCAAAGCACTGTGGATGCAACATTAAATTTTGTTGTGTTTGGTTTATTTGAGCAAATAAACCAGATAAACATTTTACTTCTGTTTGCTTCTGAGCAATCAGAAGTAAAATGCAGTTTGGAATATACAAAATTAAAGGGCTTTCATGAAAATGCGAAAGAGTTTGTTCACAAACGAGGGAAGTTGAGGTTTAAATTGAGACAGGCACTGGTAACTCAGCTTTTTATCAGTGAATGAGCCAGTGTAATTGCTAACAACACACTTCAGTGAAGAAGACTCAGTTTTCAGTATCATTTAGGTGTTGAAACATAAACAGGGCAAAACAGAAAAAGTGGAAGAAGATTTTAGACAGAAAACTTCTTTTCTTTTACAAATCCTAACCTCTCTTCTGTAATAAACTGTCTTCTATGTTCTGAATAACTGGTTTGTTCACTGTTTTGTATTCAATACTGTACTGGGCTCATGTTAGACTTTGACATTTTCCACTCACCTCTGTGACATTGTCCCCCAGGCTCCGTGCTTATTGGTCAGGATGTTGAGGATCTTCTGTTTCAGCTGGTTGGCAGTCACATGATCTCTGTGCTTGGCAGCACTGATGAGGTGGTCACACATTTTCTCCTCCTCTCTGCGGTCCGCAGCATACTGAGCACAGTTAGACTGAGTAGAGGGAATAGGAGTTAAGCAAGGGCCACTGGATGCAACTTAAGGCATGGATAGTGTACAGTGCTCTATAACAGAAGATGGAGAGCCTGTTTACCTCAAACTCGGCGTGTTTGTGGACATCCTCGGCCCTCTGTCTGTTCAGGATGAACTCTGCTTCATTGGCAACACGCACAATGTGATCCTTCATGGCGTGGCACAAGAGTCTGGCAAAAGAGTTCAGATGTGAGCACAATTATTGATAAACCAAAAAAAAAAAAAAAATCAACCGAATATCTTTCAGTTTCTTTGATTGAAATTGTCAGGAGAGCTAATAACTGTGGCACTGGTGCATTACTTTTTAAGGTTTGAATTATCCAAAAAACATTGGTTTATTTTGGGACTTCTCACACATCTCTACCAGAGGAGGCAATACACATTAGGGTGAGTATAAATGGATGGCTGATCTGTAAGCTCATTGGATTACCTTCCCTCGTTGATGAGCTCGATGAAGGCTAGTCCAGCATTCTTCTGAATGGAGTTCTGCCACTCCTGCAAATGGACAAAAACAACAGCATTAAAACTTTTTAAAGCAGAAACAGCAGACTAGTGTCTTAAAAAAGTATATGGTCTCTTCTAAATACTTGGATATTTTTAACATATATTTTTGATTATGAAAGAATTTTAATAATTTTTACCAGTTATGTAATTGTGATTTCAATCAAAACCCAGTGGACCACATATGGAAAAATATTATTTATTTATACACAAATGTTTTAAAATTTGTTTTGAGCTTTTATATAACAAACAGAACTCTAGTAAGCTTTCACTACAAGAAAATGAAGCAAACAGAACACTTTATTTGTTTAATCAATGACACTTTAGTAATGTAAAATGAGAAAAACATTTTCTCATAGCTCTAAAAACATCACTACAATCACATCCATAAATTGCATGATTTTCCATTTCTTGTGCATATGGGAGGGGAACTTCTGAAAGCCTGAAAACTATCAGCGCTCCATTAGCTCCACTGGCTCTTAAGGCCATCTCCCGTTACACCCCCAGCATCTAGGGGATCGATTTCTGGGCTCGAGTTTGCTCTCCACAGTCCTCTAATGGCAGACGAGGCGGGAGTCAGGGGTAATACTATACATGCTGACGAGATGCCTCCCAGAAGACAAAAAGGACAGGGAGTGGTGGGATGAGAGAGGAGAAGATGAAAGCAGTTGCTACTAAAAACACTGAGCCCAGGAAAGCAGAAGAGCCTGGAAATGTGACTGATGATGGAAAGAAGGAGAGAAGAGAGCAGAAATGGAGTGGCTGAGCTCAGGAGAAAGACCAAGAGGAAAGAGCTTGAGGATGACTCCAAGAAGAAGAAGAGCTCTTATGAAGAAGAATAGAAATAAACAGACTTGAAGATGTGAGGCAGACTTCAAGTCTTCTTAAAGAAACCGAGTCGCCCATTTCTGTAATGGTGAGTTTCATCCCATCTTTTGATCATCAGATACAAAATAAGAACCACTGGGTTTTAATGCATGAGGACAAAAGAACGAAAAATCCTCCATCAGTCAAGATCTGATATTTTAATGATTGTCTTTTTGTGTTTTAAGATTAGTTTTCTTTCTTTGTAAACATGCATATCAGATAAAGTCATATTACATCTGCAATGAGTATATTTCATAGTAATGAAATATCATTAACCTCAGTTTATGGATACTTTTACCTTCTTAAATCATCATAACAGATCAAGAATCAAACATTCAAAAATGTTACGAATGAGAAAAATGCAACAAAATGAAGTTTAGAGTGTCAGGACATAAAAAAAAAATTAAAAATAAATTTTTATTAAAAAGTGACCCTCATAGATTCACTGCACAAAGAGTGATATAAGCCAAGTCTGTTCGTTTTTATGAAAATTAGGTTTCTCAGAAGATTTGATTAATACAGAAGACTAATAAAAACAATGTAGCTCGCTGACCATGATCTGTACATTGAAGTTCATTAATAATTGGTCAGAGCTGCTTTTAAATAAATTACTATTTGACATGGCATGGAGATTTTGGGAATACAGTCTGAAGTCTGAGTAAATGCAAAAGTTAAATCAGTAAATTTTGTGTGTAATAAAAATGCAATTATCACTTTTAAAAATTTTAAATACTGAAATAAAATGATTGATAACCCTATTAATAAAGATGATCCTGAATGAGAATAAGATTGAAAGGTCACCAACCTGAGAACAGAGCAGCATTACAAGCTCCACCACAGATGTGCTCGACTTCATGCACACCAGACCTGCAGAAAACACAAAACACTACAGTCAGGAGTCTTTCTTCTCCTCATCTGACAAATACATTTTCCAAAACACAAAAAATATCAGTGAAGTTATAAGAGAGATAGCAGTTTGGGTTCCTATACAGTCATCATAGCTTAATTTACAAGAGGCATGCCACAGGGAAGACAAAAAGCAGAGAAATTCAGGAAAGAAGGAAGTGGAGGAGGAAGAGAAAGAAGGGAGAAAATTGAGGAAAAGGAACACAGAGACAGTGAATTACAAAACAGGAAGCAGGTGGGCAGACTGAGGACACATTTAGGACAATGTACAATTCAAGTGATGCTAAATATAATGTGATCTAACAGCATATACATTTCTGTCTAGCTGAGTTCATACAGTGCAAAGTAGTGACTTCATACCTGCTTGACGAATGAGTGAAGCAGATCAAAGACGCTCATTCACTCTGTGTTTTTCAAACACACATACACAGGCGCACTTGGTGTTTCTCGCACTCAAACATGGCGGTGAGGGACAGTGAATGAGGAGACTCCACAGAGAGGGACGCCAGTTAGAGAAAAAGGAGCCGTGTACAGCACCTGTACCTTCTATGAGCAGTTCCTGCCCATGGCTACCCAGCAGCGTCCTGGACAGGAAGGGAGCGAAGTCCACAAAGATCTCCCTTAGCAGCGGTGCCACTTTCTCCAGAGCACGCTCCAACTTAGTGGTGATGCTGCGGAGGAGAACAGGGCGAGAAAAAAAGATGAAGGAACAAAAGAAGTGAGAAGGTCATACGTGACAAACAAGAGCTTAAAATATGTGGGATTTACAAACAGATGTAAAATTCATGCATGACAGAAATGAGCAGGGAAATGGGAGGACAAGAGAAAAACCAGGAGTTAAACCGGACATGGACGACGCAAAAGGTCAGAATCAAACATGATGATGGTGCGGGTTTGGTGGCAAGGCGGCTGTGTTATTATTGGGAAAGTGCTGCAGTTAAAAAGCTAATCATTGAGCAAATTAACTTAAAAATGGATAAAGCAGCTTTACTATATCGCACTCAAGTGTTGAAAACTGGATTGAGTGTTTTCTTGTACTATAAATGCAAGAAAGTGTGTTTCTGCATTGAGAATTGCTCGTGTAGAAAAAGTTTGGTTAAAAATGGGAGCACTTAAAGTACTTGTGATCCACTTCCTCATTGTGGTTTGCAAAAATGCTTTGTTATTTCTCAAGTAAATGAGCAAAATATATTTCATAATTAAGCTAAGGCAGGTGTTCAATCAACAGATCTCACAATATCTGTAGATATTAGACATCCCATTTTAAGGGATCTCCATTTCAACTATATCTATTTAGATCAATGTTTTTTATCCAATGCATATTTTCATAAAATTGAGTCAAACATTTTTGTCATAACTGTATGCATATCTCTGAGCCTATCAGCAAAATCTTGGCCCTCTGTGTGATTTCAAATAAATTGAAGAAATATCAAAGAATTTCACAAAAGAAAAGAAAAAGGCACAAATAATAGTTTACAAAAGAGTGGATGTTAAATTCTGCCGAGTATTGTAAATACTAAGTTTTCATAGCTAATTACATTTTAGAATTTTTGTGGCTACTGTTAATATCAGAAGAACAATTAGAAGCAAGAGGCCACAGAGGACAACGTCAGAGCAGAAATTTATTTTCCCTTGCTGTTCTTCTTCTAGTTCAGATTTGTATTTAATTAGCTTTTATGAAATTCAGCAGTCACTTTCGGAGGTATGACAAACAGTGATCTGAAAAACCTAAACTATCAGTAAAGAGAGTAAGGACAGTTTCACAGTGGATTTCTAATATCAGTCAATTCGAGCCAAAGATGCACTGTAAACCTTTACAACATCTTCAGTTTAGGATTAGTCCTTTGCTCACATGAATGGCAATAGTTATTTTCATAAAAAGTTGTGTGGATCTGCTATGAAACAAAACAAAACCTGCTAAGCCAAATTCAGCCACTGTGTGAACACAAATGTCTAGAAAACAAAAATAAAATTAATAATAAAGTAGAAAAATAAATAAAATAAGAGGTTACAAGAGCCAAATAACATTTTTAGGTTGGGTTTGCTTTAGTCAGAAATTGATACATGATGTGCAGATGAAGAGATTTTTTTGTTCCCTCAAACGAGAGTTTTAAGATACTGACTGCTGATGACTACCGTGTAGAACCCCACCTAATACAAAATCCAACCTGCAGATATCAAGTTGTGACAACAGGTGAAAAATTTAGAGTAGACAAAAAATGAATCACCAGATTTTTGAGGGACTTCCATGTTTGAAAAAAAAGCAAAAAAAAGTAAACAAAACAAACTCAAACATAAATCTGTAATAGAAACAGCAATGTTTGTTACTATGGAAACATTTGTGACTTAGGTCCCTGACAAAGGAGTAAAGTGAAACCCAGGTCTGATCTAGACTTTGGGCTGAGTGTGTGAAGACAACCATGCAGTAAGGGACAGACTTCAATGTGGTGCAGTAAATGCGAACAGTATGAGCTGTTGGCCTGAAAACAAAAGCGATGCCATCATCTTGCTGAAGCAAAGATGTCCGTCTTTTGTTACATGGCATACAGAGAACATTTAGTAATAGCTGGCCAGAGCAGAAAGGGTGTGGTGGAGGGTGTGGCAGAAGGGGGGAAGGGGACAGGACGGGTGTCTCCTTGCCTAAACACTGTCCTGCATCTCGGGGAGCTGCCTGGAAGCCTGCCAGAGAGCTAAAAGACTTGAGCTCAGGGGGCGTCTGACCGCTGCGCAGCGCACACTGCGCCACCTCACAATAGGCACTGGAATACAAACCACACATAAAAAACACACATGCAGACATGCACACTGATTAAGGATCACACATACACACCTCACGCACTCCAGTGTCTGCTAATAATTAGAGTAAAAACTTCTACAAATCATTTCCTGGTTAGTAAAAACGTATTCAAACTTTAGAGACGTTAACAGTGTTTTTTACCAAGACAAAACAAAGGTTGATGTTAATGAAAGTTTCATTTACATGTTCTTTGGAAGACATTAAGAGTGGTGAGCTCAAATTTGTAGAAATGTATTGCTTTGGAAAACTATTTATACCCCTTGAACTGTTTGATATTTTGTAACATTATTGCCAGAAATTGCATTTTATTAGGATTTTATGTGATAGACAAACATAAAGTAATGGGAAATTGTTAAATGAAAGGAAATGTTTTCTTACAAATAAAAAGGAAGAAATGTGGGTTCAATGTTTGATAGAATTTTCTTTTTCTGCAATTAGAACTGCAGATGCAGAAACAGATTTTTCTTCTGCTCGTTTTTTTTTCCAACCAACAAAAATCTAAAATAGATATGTTTGTGTATATCAACTTTTTCCACAGAATAAGGTTTAAACGTTGACTACCATGTGGTCTAATCCCAGTTTGGGAGTATGTCGAGTGGTGTTGTCTTGATAGAAGATGAACATCTGCTCCAGGTCCGTGTGTTTTGCAGCCTCCAACAGGTTTTCATAAACTCTGAGCAGGTACTCGCTGTTTTCAGTGTGATCATTCATTTTCTGCCACATGTAGGTTTTTACATAGGCCAGAAAGTCAGATTTTGCTCCTTCTTCCACATATTTGTTGCGTTTCCAGATGAGTTGTGAGAAACTGCAAACAGGCCTTCTGCAGCTTCTTCAACAATCATTGTATTCTTGTTCCACAGAGCCCAGTTTTCTGGAAAATATTTCTAGTTGTTCTGTCTCTGTAGCATCCCAGAATTATTCGGGATTGGTGAAGTGTTTCTCTCATTAATGCTATTTGTTCATTAATGTTCTCTGATAAATTATGAAACCTTCACAGAACATTTTGATTTATAATAAGATGAACACAGGTGTTTAATTTACTATTATTTACAACTTACATGATTTCTTCAAGCAATTCAAGTTCAAGGGGTATGAATATGTTTTCTGTACACTACAATCAATTGTGTTTTCCTTATCTACAGTGCAGAGCAAGCTAATGACTGAAACACAGTCATTATGTCGAGGCTGAAGAGCAGCATACAGCGTTGACTAAGTGGGATGCGTCAGTGGTACGTGTGCATGACAGCTTAAAATAAGTATGGTGAGAGGAATATTAATCTTAATCGATATGCAGCCTGGGAGCCAGGCAAGCTCATGTTTCACTTCCTCTGGCTGGATGCATCTGGCCCTGCTCCTAATGAGCTCAGTCTCTGTGTGTGTGTGTGTGTGTGTGCGTGCGTGCGTGCGTGTGTTGCAACTGCAGCCATTTTTTCCACATCGAGGAGGTTTAATACCAAAGCTCGATCTTATCAGATGAGATTAATGAAATCCCTGTCATTTGTTCATATTTCCCAATATTTCTTTCTTGTCGATGTGTGTTCAGAGGCAAGTGCTCTGAATTAGCTCATAAAAAAAGTATGCATAGCTCTTGCTTCAGCTAAGAATTAGATGTAGCGTTTAAATAAACTGACTGCAGATCTGAGGAATTTGCTACAAAAGCTCTTGTGAGCTTGTAGCCACATTTCTGAAGCTCCCCGGTCTTCCAGACAATAAATCCATCATCTAACCTCTCTGTGAGCTGTAAGAACTCTCTGAGAAGGATGAAGGGGTGGGAGTGAGGTGGAAATATGACAACGACACACTTGAAGCCAGACGCATTAACGTGAGAACGAAAACCAAAAAGGAAATAAAAAACAGAAAAAAAGAGGAAGGAAATCAAATGGCTGGAAAGCTTTTACGACGCCGTTTACACACACCTCATGTTCTCCATAGTGTCTTCTGGCATCGGGGCCACTGTCTGCACTGCTGGCAGATTCTTACTAGTTGCACCGTTAACGAACGATGACGAGGAGGAAGAGGATGAGGAGGCAGAGTCTGCAGCACCTGGGTGGTGGGTGGAGGGTGGGAGGGAGGGAGAAGAGGTTAAGATGAAGAGTGGTGAAAAATAAGACGACCATCCCAGATATGAAACATTTATATCACCAGTCAGAGGCAAATAAATTCAATTTGGATGTTATTTCACCAGACAAGCTGCTGCACCTCTTCTGGTAATGGTTTGTGAAAATAGCTTTGCAATCAATATAAAGAATCCAGTGCAGAAGCAACTCCCCCCACCTCACCCCACCCACCCAGCCTCTGCCATTATGGATGCATAATACAGCAGTGTATCTCTGACAGGCCGGCAGGGATGTGAATACTAATCTATTTCCCTACAATGGATCTGCTGAGTGTGATGCTGCATCTGTTTCTACAAGGAGCAAAAAAAGTAAATAAGAGCAAACATGGAAGAGCGCTGGTGACAGCCTGAAGGGAGTTTGCTTACTTGCATTAAATAGCTTCTGTTTTCTATCTCTATTCTCAAACTGTACTCATCTAGTTTCTGTGACGCTGAAACTATTTCTAAAAAGGAGTTGCTGACTCAGCTTCTTTCTATTCAGATTTTTTTTTTCCTCTGGCAGGCAAAGTGTGGAAATAAAAGTACAAGGAGTTTTGAGACAACACAATCAATTCAGACCTGACAGGCTGAGGAAAAGTCATATATATATAAAAAAAATTCCCTTCTCACCCACCGCGGGTGGTTCTTATCCTCTGAGCTCGGGTCCTCTACCAGAGGCCTGGGAGCTTGAGGGTTCTGCGCAGTATCTTGGCTGTGCCAAGGACTGCACATTTCTGGACTGAGATGTCTGATGTTGTTCCTGGGATCTGTTGTAGCCACTGCTCCAGTTTGGGGGTTACTGCCCCGAGGGCCCCGATGACCACAGGCACTGTGGTCTTCACCTTCCAGCCCTCTCCAGTTCTTCCCTGAGGCCCTGGTATTTCTCCAGTTTCTTGTGCTCCTTTTTCCTGATGTTGCAATCACGGTATTGCTACATCTACCACAACGGCTTTCCTCTTTTGTTTATCCACTACGACAATGTCTGGTTGGTTCGCCATTACCATTTTGTCTGTCTGGATCTGGAAGTCCCACAGGATTTAGCTCTGGCGTTCTCCACCACCTTTGGGGGTGTTTCCCACTTTGATCTGGGGTTTCCAGTCCATATTCTGCACAGATGTTTCTGTACACTATGCCTGCCACTTGGTTATGTCGCTCCATGTACGCTTTCCCTGCCAGTATCTTGCACCCTGCTGTTATGTGCTGGACTGTCTCAGGGGCTCCTTGCACAACCTACACCTTGGGTCTTGTCTGGTGTGGTAGATCTGGGCCTCTATTGCTCTGGTGTTTAGGGCCTGTTCCTGGGCGGCCAGGATGAGGGCCTCTGTGCTGTCCTTGAGTCCAGCTTTTTCCAGCCATTGGTAGGATTTACTGATATCAGCCACTTGGGTTATTTGCTGTGGTACATCCCATGTAGGGTTGTCCTCCCATGATGGTATCTCTGGCACCTCAACCTCCGTTCCCTGTTGTCTGAGACATTCACTGAGCACATTGTCTGTTGAGGCTTTGTCCCTGATGTATTTATGGATCTTAGTTGTTTCGTCCTGGACAGTGGTTCTCACACTCACTAGTCCTCTGCCTCCGTCTATATATATATATATATATATATATATATATATATATATATATATATATATATATATATATATATATATATATATATATATATATATATATATATATATATATATATATATATATATATATATATATTCTAATGTTTTAACAAACATCACAAAATCTGAACTATCGTTTATGTATGTTTTTTCACCCCCTGGAGTCAAGCAAGTTGTTTCCATGGACCGAATCTCCATCCACATGTCCAACATTTTTTCTCTCACCTGTAGTGTTGATCATGCTCTTGGGTGTTGCTGTTGCAGCAGCAAAAATGTTGGGTGTGCTGCCAGGAGTGGCTGATCCACTGGTGGTGGGTGTGCCCACTGTGTTGACAGACAGGCTGCCAGGTGGGGGCTTTTTCACTGGAACAACAACACTCCTGTGAAAACATGAGAAACAAACGATTAGGCAAAGTGGCACTTGAGACATTCTAGCTGAGATTTGTTGTGAGATTGCACCTTATAAATAAACTGAACTGATGTGAAACACTGACTCTAGTGCCTGCAGTGTTAAAATAAAGTGACAGGTGACTTTGGTCCTCATTGAGGTCACCATGGCATCTGAGCCTTGCAACAGGTACCTAACAGTTTGAAGTCAATCAATAACTGCGTCTTTGAATATTTATAAATGTTTATTTTACTAATGTTTCTAAATATAAAGACTCAAAAAACTTTCCCTTTGTTTTTGTATAAAAAAAATTCTACAATACAGATCTGAACAACATTTTCAGATTTGGGGTGTAGGATTAGAATATTGGAAAAACACAGAATTATTCAAGTAATATACAACTAAATAAGCAAAAATATTTCAATATTTATTAATAAATTTCTCCATCATGTACTTAATGGGTCTTCATGGTTGAATAAGCAATATTTTACAAAGGGTTGGAATTGCAACTTAGACCTCAAATATAAGAAAATATAGTAAACATATATGTAGCAAAAATTAATTCCCAGTTCCAGATAAAGATCTGTAAAATCCTTGAAATAATTTAATCCTATATAGAAGATTGTACAAAGTATTAACAGTGGAGAAACCAATAATTTCGGCATTGGGAATTTTAAAAAAAGCAGTTATTTTAAAAGTATATATTTTTTCTCATATTTAATAAATGCACTCAAATAAAATGTTGAATTTTTCAAAATCAAATAAAAAAAGAGAAAAAAAAATGGGATCTTACTTGTAATATTGTGTGTATATATTATTTCCATTTACATCTGTTTAGACTAAAACAAAAACCTCTTAAATCACAGCTTGTTCATAGCAATTTAAATTTTATTTCTAATTTATACAAGCTCATGTACTTGATCCATGAAGCTGGTCTGACCTATAGAGGCTTTAGAAACGACGCAGACATCTCAGGGAGATGGATATAGATAATCTTCTATTAATAATGCATACCATATTCAATCAATGACTTTGCTCACAGACTGTGACAAGACAGGATCAAGGAGAATAAATGATGGAGAGGAAATTTAGGAAGCTATTCACTTTTCAGAAAGACACTGATGCAAACATGGACGAGAGTAAACGCTATCATTTATTTTTCAATAAAGTTACCAGTTAAACTAATCAAGTTAAAATCAAGTTTTTAGATTTCTATGTATTTATTTGAGTTATAATAAAACAAAAAATAAATTACTACTAAGAGAAACTTTTTTTAACATACTAAACAAAACATCCGGATCCAGTTCTACTAGTAGAGCAGTGGTCTATATCAATATTGACTGTAATAATTGATCACCTGATGGATGTGTTTAGCTCAATGCTAACAAGTCAATATCTTTCTCTGCAGTTCCCCGTGTAAAAATGGCTGACCTGTCGAAGGAGTGGAACTGCATGGGCAGCATGGGATGCGTCTTCAGAGCGGGGTCCGGGTGGTAGGGCGTCGGCCCGGACTCCTGACCCAACTCTGTGCCATCAATGGGAGCCGCCACCAAGCTCTTCAGGATCTCCTGCGTTTCAGGGAGAAAAACAAATCTGGTGAACAGAGAATCATTACATTCTGGTTTAAGTGTAGGCTTCTGTGTCACACAGTTTTTGGATATAAAATGAATATACAAAGAAGGAAGGTTAGAGTGGTTCCCCCTCCACCTTAGTCAGACTCAGATAAATTTCAGGCAGCATTACAAAAGATTTGGACAATATTTTAATGCATCAATTGTAACTGCATAACTGATGCATATCAGTTATGCATCATAACTAAACCATATCTAAAAATGCCTCACAGTAAATAGAGGTTATCCTCCTGGAATGTTGTACTTGGCTTATGGTAAACATGCCTTGTCCAGATATTCTAACTTAAGATTCCTTTGTCCAAAATCCAATATTCTAGAAGTCCAGGTTTTCTTGTCTACATTGGTACAAACTTTATCCTGACCTGCATACATTTCTTAGGGTTCATCAGAAATTAAATTTGTCTAATTAAACTGATTTCTTGTGAAATATCCACATGTCTAAACATGTCAGAACCCACAAGTTTTCATAGGGTGCCCTAATTTGTTAAGACACTCACCTTAACATTGATGCCTTTGTTTGTTTGGCTGATGCTAGAAATGGATGAAGGTGGTGCTAGGCTCGAGTTCGGAGTGGATCTGGGATCATGGGGAGAATCCAGAAGGCTCTCTTGCGACCTCCGAACGTCAGACGACAGACTGCACAGCAGATCTGTCCCTCCGCTTCCCCCTCCACCGTTGTCTCTGTCTCGGTCTCTGTCTGTCTCTCTCCCCACCAGGCCCAAACCAAGGCCACCAAGGCCCACCTCAGAGCCGTTCAGGGACCCAGCCACATGACCTTCTTCTCCAATGCCGGAATCCGTGTGGGGAAGGCCTGCCAGAGGAGAGTCATCTACTGGGGTAGGGGTCTGCTTGTCAGAGAAGGCTGTGGATGGGTGCTCTGTTATGATGAGAAAGAAAGAAAATTTTGTTTATTTAACATGCACTTAAATAAATATGCCCAAATTGTTTAAATTCAGATACCAACAGAAATCTATTTTTCTTAAAAACAGTTTTTTTGTGTCGTTTTCCACTTTTCTGTTGTATTTGAAATCTTTATCTCTTGTTAAACTATTGTTGCTTTGCTGCAGTCTGTATTTTCTCCACTGCAAGGTAAAAATGATGAGTCACTGACAAGTTACTGTATGATATAAATGACCCTGAACCAGAGGAAAAACAAAACATCACCTGTACTAGTTGGGGAGTTTATCTCATGGCGGATGCTTCTCCCTGACAAGCTGGTGGACCGGCCAATTTCTCTCTGTGGCTCCAAAATATCTCGGTACTTTGACACCATGAGAACTGAGATGAAGTATACGACTGCCAGTGCCAAAAACTGAGCCTGCTTACTGTCATCCTGCAATAAAACAACACAAACATAAAGAAAAAAAAACATTATCTAGCAAGCAGAGTGGGATATGTTTCCTTAGTGTTACAACACAAATAAATTCACCAACAGGCATACTCACCACATCTCTGAAGACTACAGCTCGAAGACGATTGATGTCCACATCCTGAAGGAGTCTATCTGGATCCTGCTACAAATATAAGTCATGAAATTGTTGGGTCAATTGTTTGCTAGCTTTTAAGTGCAACAAGATGTGAATGTCATAAATGTGTGTTTGGTACCTTGCTGGCAGTGGAGGCACTGTGGAGGCTGTCCTGCGACTTGCTGCTGGTTAATGAAGACTTGCAACTTCGATTTCTTTGTCTTTGTCTGCACTCCAGGCAGTTTCTGACAGCCACGCAACACACTGAAGGAAACATGGAGGAAACAGAGATTTTCAGAATCAGTGAGGTGTTTAAGATGAAGTCTGAAAAAGCACAAAGAAATCAGAAGCTGTCTAAAGGGAAATGTTTTTCTCCATGCCTGCAAGAGAGCAAGACAAAAAGCAGATAACAGAAAGACTGAATATATTTCAGGAAAGTTCCTGTGTTTAGCTTTTGAAAACCTCTGTTTGCTATATAATGGATTTTGAAATGTTGGTAGCTGTTTGAAATCTCAGAGTAATAGATCTACATTTTCTGGGAAATGTACATAGAGGCAGCCTTTTCAGATGTGTTAACTGTCGTAGTATTACATGTTAAAGGAAGTTTTAAATCTGAACTCTGTCAACTTTTGATTTAAAATATTAGCAAAACCTTATTTTACAGTGACTGATTGCTCTTATGGGATGTCTTTAATACTAATATAAATAAGACATGATCAACACAGGAAGGTCAAGACATTTTTGAATATTGTTCTTATGTCATAATCATATCCTTGAAGAGAAACTAGAATCAGATAAAATCTGTATTGGGAGCTGAAAGCTATGAAAAGAGAAAATCTTAAATCAGTATTAATATTGTAATAAGTGGGTCAATTTTTATAAAACATTTTCACTTAATAAAGTCATCTTTAATGAGCCCTTTCCAGGTTCCAAAATAAGATTATAAGCAGAAATGCACTGCTCTAAATTTTGCGCCCAATTTCCAATCTCTTTTTCTTGTATAGCTGTGACCTTGCAATGCCCATTGGCATCGATTTCTCTTTAAGTAAGCATAAGTATAATCCAATTCCAAACTTATAGATTCTAGGAGGAGTGGTGACATCCTGCTGTGTGTGTGGGAGAGGTGTTGCAGTAAAACAGGTCTTTACTATTTTAAAGTAAGTCATTTTTGCAGAGTTTACATTTTAACACCTATAGCCCACTGTACATTACTGAAACATCAGCTTCTGTGCGTTTTCGTCATAGAATATATATCCTTACGCCAACTTTGAGCTTTCCTTTAGGTTGCCAACATTTCCCTGTCCAGCACGTTCAGAGCTTTGCTTGTCTCTGTTTAGCCTTCTTGTCACCTGCTCAAGTCTCTTGCTCTTTTCACAGTGTGACGCCACCACAAACTTGTGTTGACACGTTTAAAATAGATTCTCATAAATTTGTGCTTTCTTTGGGTTTATTTATAAAACACGTCAATGATTCTGAAACTAACTAAGACTTTTTCAGCAAGAAATAACTTCCAAACCAAAGAGTGCGCTTACATATGGTAAGTAAATAATTACAAAAGTTAATAAAGCTGAAAATCAACACAATTTAGTGAATTTATTTTTCAGCTTTAGTTTCAAAGTAAACTTATAAAATTGGAAATATTTACAGAACTACTGATACTAATATGGCTAACTAAGCAAGCCATGAACCTGTAATGATGATGTCTACAGCCATAAGCATAAGTGCAGGGGTTTCGATTCTGATCAATACAGAATATGTTAGAGCAGCACACACCGAGGCGGAGACACTGCCTCATTAGCCCCCAGACGACATGTTCTTCTCTGCTTCGATCTCACTGAAGTTCAGCGAGCTGGCAAACACCAGAACGTCCACCATGGCCATCAGGCGAGACAGAAAAGTGACCGCTGTCTCTGAAGACATCCCCTGTGTCGCCTCTATGTTCTCCAACTCTGTCTGGATTGGGGAGAGGATACAAAAACGAACACATTGGAGAGTCAATAATAGTGAAGGAAGCTCTCTCGGCAGATAAGGAGAGACGGTGAAATCATCTTTTTTTTTTTAAATAAAGAATTAGCCTTTGGGAAAGCTGGACCTTGGATCAGCATGACTAAATTAGTCATGGCTGTTTGTAACAACAAACAGAAAGAACAACCTTCAGGATCATGCTGAAAAATGACGAAATCTGGCAACATAAAGTGCTCTCCACAATACACAGGAAATGCAGCCTGATGACACACAGGTAATGGTAACAATAGCTTTGTAACAGCAGCAGTGTTGTTGAAGTTAACATTGCCACTTGAATTGACCTTGTTCTATGACCTTTAAGCTGGATCTGTTTTAATCCCAAAGCAGTTTTACTGTGATATATAAATACACATGACCTAATAACAGCACTACGTGTTTAAACCAAGTGTTTGCTTTGCTGCTTCACTGCTTCTGTAAGTAGAGAACGCAGATCTGTGGGGACAAAGTGCGCGCATCTGAAGGCTCATCAGAGTACAGACAGTTGAGGAATAACAGTGACACAGAGTGAGGACAGAAGTGCTTTGGTTGGTGCTCTTAGTTCTTCTGGTGATGATGAGAGTCTCAGGCTCGGTACGCACCTCTCCCCCTGCGCCTCCTCCCCCAGGAATGGGGGTCACCTCCTCTCCCTTCGAACCCCTCTGGGGTCCTGCTCCTCCTGCCTTCTTTGGTGTTGATACAAACGGGACATTCTTAGCAAAAGCAAGTCTTGAGGACGGTCTAAAACACTCTTGTTCGCTCTCTTATAGAAAAGACACTCTAGTCCAGGTCAGAAGTTTACATACACATCATAAGCATTATGGTCATATTAGGCTTAAACTTTAAATATCTTATTTTAACCATTCTATCAAAATTCCAGCTGATTCTGAAAATAAAACTTTGGTTAAAAAGTGGTTTTGTTTCTAAATTTTCTAAATAATTTATGCACGCTGGGTTAAATTCATGCATACACCTCGACAATTCCTACATTCTTTCAGATCTTCACAATAAAAAGCAAGTTTACTGAGGTATGTTGATGTGTGTTTGGGTTCATTTTCACTTAAACACTAAGATGTTTCAACCATCTACTTGATTTATTTTTGTTCAGGCAGAGGACCTGTATGCTTTTGAAGCTTTATTTAAATAAAGCTTCATAGGAAAAATCCACAATGCATTCAAACAATTCATACAAAAAAAATCTACATGCTGAAATGATGTATTATAATCCAACTCCAGAAGAATAGCTTTTCAAATACACAATTAAAAGTCCAAAATTAATATGACATTCATTCCAATGATGTGTTTATAAATGTCTGACCAGAAGAATTTTTCTAATTTGTTCGGGAAAAAAAATACTCATAATTTATTCATTCCTCCTATTGTGTTTCCCCTTTTTCCATTTCATGATCAAAAAAGTGTTTTGAAAGAAAAACGTATAGTCTGACCGCAACAAATAATCTAAATTGGAGATTTGATTAGCAGCACAGAAGCACAGCAGAATAAAACACCACGGATGTCTGACACGCATGGGTTGCTCACAATAATAATAAAATTAAAACATAAAAGTTAACAGAGTAGAAAAAGAGGAAGAAACTGTAACTTACAGTGTTGGCACTACTCTTAGAACTCTGCGCATGCAAAACAGACAAAAACAGAGACAAAGAAAGACAAGAAAATACACAAAATACACGCAACACAGAGAGGAAACGAAATATTAAAACATATAGATGACAGAAAGAAAAAGTTATTTAAATTATAAATCAAATTATTAATTTAAAAGATTAGAGCAAAGTTGAAATAAAGATCAAAACAGCGTATTAGATCAAATGTTAAATGCATAAATTACTAATGAGACGAATCCATGTTTTTGAAGAGTTTAATTTTTTCATAAATGCACATATTGTTAAACCAAACAGGGTGTTTTACCAATACACTTAAACTTACATAATTCTTGCTCTTGTTGTGTTTTATTGCTTATAAACAAACAGCCATAAAACCGAGGGAAAAGACACGTTTTTATTTTTTTCACAAATTCCATGCACATTAAAGAGCTACAATTCTCAGTTCTACCACATGGGGGCAGAGAAAAGCCACTTACGGAGGGGGAGGTGGCGGCCGACAGGAGAGGGAGGATGCCTCCACAGGCAATGATGATGTTGTCCACCATCTGAGAAATGAGGTGAATGGTGTTGTGGACGAAGATGATGTTTTCATTGCTGTTCACAAAATCCATCACTGACTTAGTGGAGTGGCTGAAATAAAAAGGAAAATAAGGGCAGCAAAGTTAACTTGGTGATACAACCGGGGAAAATGTGCAGCTGACCTAATTTTATGCAGCAGACACACACAGCTCACGTGGCCCCACTCACCTCCTCCACACGTGCACGTCCGTCTCCAGTGCAAACAGCAGGTCGGTGAGCAGCCTCTGGTGCATCGGGGACCATTTGAATTCTGGGATCCGGAACATGGTGGTGCGTGGGCCGGGGCTGAACTGACGCCGCTGCTCTTCCGTCATGGGCATTCCCCGGAAGCCCAGGTCGACACGCAGGTCCCGCTCCAGCTGGGCTGCGGTGCGGCCGTGCAGGGCCTGCAAGGCAGTGGGCGACTAAAAGGTTAACACTGCGTTTATCCTTTAGGTTAGCACATAAAAACAGTTACGATTACAGTTCACTTAAAGAATCAAAGGACTGTCTGCTGTTATTTCATAACATGAGTTTAATTTTCTCAGTTCAGGTCAATCATTCTTGACCTGAACTGAATAGGAAAGCTGGTTTGCAAAAACTTTCTCAAATCCTTTTCAAATGTCCAAACATAGCAAACAGTGTTTGGACAATTTAAAATTTCATTAACTAATCAATTACATTTGACCCAGACTATTACTCTCAGATGAGAAAAAATGTGTAGCTCTGCTGCCTTCTATATAAAATTCTGACAATGTGTAGATTAGAGAAAATCCACAATTAACTGAAACCTGTGCACCCATTCTACTTTTTTTTATTTTATTTATTGAAACATAATCATATAATCATTTTCCTTCATGATTATACTTGAAGGGCTTAAGTGAATCATTAAGAGCTCATAATTATGATGACATACAATGAGTGGATGTAAACTTCAGACCAGCAATGTTTGTACTGTAGTTTCACAGAATCATTAGGGATTCTGAGAGCAAAGCAGCCAGGTAATTATGCACCTTGAGAGTTCACACTCACCTGGGTGGTAGCTGTAGTTTGAATCTTTTTTATGTCTTTGTCTTTCCCATCATCTGACCGCTCTGTATCAGAAGTGGTACTGGCTGTGTCTCCCCCTGTCTTCAACCCCGCAGTCTCTCCCTCTGGCCCGGGTGCTCCCTCCCCCTCTGGGAATTCTGGTCTAGTCGCTCCCTGGAGTTGGTTCTGGCTCTCGGCTTCAGCAATAGAGCTGATGTCAGCCAGAGGACTCTGGATCTTGAATGGTCCGTCCTCAGGGAGTTCCCCAGGGGTGTGGCTTTGGGTTTGTGTTAAATCAGAGTCACAGCTGGTCATGTGGGCCAGCAAGCTGAGGTCATCACTGGCGCTGGTGGTGGAGTGAGCGGGGACGCTTCCTGATGGAGCAGGCTGGTCCGTACTAGGAAGAACAAGGGGATCTGTGGATGCCAGAGCTGGAAGCAGCTTCTCATCAACCTGGTGAAGATAAAATCCAAATTGGTAGCCAGAAGAAGAGGATGAAGCTACACAAAAACTATTTGAATTAATCAGGGAGAGCAATAATGAGATCCTACCTTGCTAAAGAGAAATCCATTGTTGCTTGGAACACTGTCTTTCTCATCAGCTAACGTGATGAGAGGACCCATGTTCCCGTCATCCTCCATGCTGACTCTCGAAAGTCCCAGGCTGGTCCCGATTCCAACCCTTGAGCCTGCCGTGTCTTCTTTGGGCGCCAGATTCCCGTTCAGGTTCGGAACAACAGAGCAGTAAGAACTGTCCAAGAGAGAATCCACTTCTACAAGAGGTCCATTTTCTATTCCTACCCCACCCCCACTGCCTCCCACACTTCCACTCAGGGCCTCTGGAGATAGGTCCAGGTCATCCAGCTTCACCTCAGTGGCTTCTACTTTTTCTGCTTTAATGTCCACCAGGAGGTCATGAACCTCCACTCTCACTCCTGGACCAGCACTCTGCTCCCCTGGCGTCAAAGCTTCACCGTTCGGCCGCTTCACTGAACCCTCAGCAAGAAGGTTGCGTGAGTCCCCGCCTGCCCCTTCGCCGTACTCTACTTCACTTTCCGGGGTCTGCGTCTGAGAGTTGTCATCTATCTCTAGATTCCCGTTAACGACAGGAGCTGGTGTGGCCGAGAGACCGGAGATTGTGGAGACAGACCCTTTCTTTCCTTTCTTCATGTTTTCCTCCTCCTGACGCTGGTACTCTTCATACATCTTAGCTAAGTACTCCTTATGGGCTTCATAGGTCACCTGTGACAGATGGTGGGATATAATTGGAAAGGCGATCAGAAGATGTGTACTGAGAGCAGCTTCCCTCCACATCCATACTCAAAAGCTACTCCCAAGGGGGGCTATAGATCATCACAACCAGACAGCATGAACAAAACTGGGACTCCAGTCTCGAGAAGCATTAAGGCCAGAATCCATAAAATCAGCTCAATTTTACTTTGAGAACAGAGGAAGGTAAAAAAAAACAAAAATCTGTGACAGAATCCATGGGTTTAAAAACATATATATATTTGGTATGTTTCTTTTTTTAGAATGTATCTGTAAACATCCAAGTACCTATTATAGCAAATAATAATTTTTAGGTCTTTCTCTAGGTCTTTGCAAAAACTTTCTTCCATCAGTCCAGTCCTTGCGAATAATAGCATATAAGTATCTAATTGTCATACACTCTAAAAAGGAGTAAAGCCAAGTCCAGCAAAGACCTCATGCTTTCTCCTGCAAAAGATCACCTAGTGTTATTATCCATGTTTTCAGCTAAAGGCTTTTAGGGAATTACCTGGTTGGTGTTGTTCTGTCAAACTGGGTAGCTTTGTTATTTTTCAAAGATTCAAGCAAAGAAATTATTTTTGTGAGAGGCTGCCAAAACTAGTTTCTGTTTGGTGTACATTTACAGGGTGGCTTAAGTTTTCCTGAACTACCTTTTCAGTTATGACAGTATAGTCTTAAGACTGCTGAATTAATCGTTTTTCTACTGCTCTACATGTATGTATTGTTTGCCAAGATTGCTGCCATTGACATCATGTTTTTATTTTTCTTGCACAGAAAGTAAACCCCTTCCAGTGCTTCTGTGTTTGACTGTGTCATATTGCTAAACGAACACCTGACAAAGATATTGTTGCCTTTACTACGTTTTACTTATAATTTTTATAGAAAGTGATGCAGGTTTTGTTGTTGCCGCTTGGTTAAGTCTTAATGTTTTTTATTTCCTCTAGAAAGTACTCCTTGTTCTGTGTACTTACGTTGTTGTCTGCCTCTCCTTTCTGGACACAATCATTGACAGAGTTGATAATATAATATTCCATTAATGCCATTAACTATCCTTTTTTCATCAAGAATGTGACCATATTGGTTTCTATAAAATAGGATATGAATCACTTTGTCTGTAACGGGGTTGAGATTGCATTTATTTTAAAAAGGAGCTATATCAGTAAACTCATTCATATTCAGTTCTGCACAGAACTAAATTGTGTCAATAAAAGGACACTGAGGATTCAAGTTTTGCAGTTTCCACTCTCACCTTAGAATGCGCAATGGAAAGAGTATCAACCCAGACCCTCCACCCTCCCCATTCGTATTTGATAGCATGGTAGAGAAGGATCCTGAAGATGTTGTACACCATTTCCGTTATCTTTTGTTCCTCTGGGTTCTTGGGGTTGATATATCCGAGGGAGAACATCCAGTCCTGCCACACCGAGCACTGCAACAGGCAGCTGATACAAACAGAAAAAAGGTTATATGAGCTGCCTAGTTGCATATAATTTATGGCAAAAAAATCACTTGTAAAATAAGATGATCAGTTATGTGGTGGAATAAACTGAAGAAACTTGATTTGTTATGGTTTTACCGTCGGTTTTCACGGCTGTTGCTGAAGAGTTTAATCATGTCGGAGAGGAAGAGTCTCCGAACTTCCATCAGCTCAGAACTGGGTGAGGAGTTCTTCAACAGAGTAGCCACTACCTTCAGAATCACTGGCAGAAACAAGAAAGAGTCCATAATAAGGGAGCAGGGAAAACAAGAAACTATGGAATGATGTGTGAGTGACATCAGTAAGTGGGAGATGGCAGCAGAGCTGATTTGAATCCAGACTTTGTTTGTTTGCATTACCAAAAAGAAAAGAATGGCAGATGGAAGCCACAGAGGAGTGCTTCATTACTTACTGGGGTTCTGGATCTTGACAGTAGAGTCTGGCTCAGGGTGGGGTTTGTGAACCACCTGGGTGCACACCTGCTCTGTCAGAATCTGCATTGACAGAAGTTTAGCGGATGCCATTTAAACAACATACAAACCACTGCTATTCTGGCAAAATCATAAGAGATTATGTAAATCTGTATGGAAATGTAGAAAAGGGAGATGCTGTCACAATTACCTACCTCATACAGTGTGTTGTAGGTGGTGATGGAGACCGTGTTGGTGTGCATCATCAGCCTTTCTCCCAGCAGTGTGAACAGGCTGTGTGTGTGCATGATCTCCACCTTCCTCCTGCACACCAACAGAAAAAAAATATTGCATATTATTTAGGATCATTATAATTATAAGCAACAGTAATTTTCACTGAGAAAACAAAATATTAGTAGGTTGTAAAATTTTACCATATCATTTTTAGCATTTGCTAACAAAAAGCATTTGGTTGCTAGTATAAAAATATATAAAATGAACGGTTTTAACATTTTGACAATCTGCCAAAGCAAAGAGATTGGGATATCATATCAAAGTCTGGCATTTAAGATTTTATATTAAGGAAAATGCAAGAAGAATGGCAGAAAAAGCATTCATTAAGCTTCTTAAAGCAAGCAGCCACAAGGGAAAAATCATTTTCAACCCTTTAAACTGGGATGAAATTAATTTTCACCCTTTGTAAATTCTGATGAATTACTTAAAAATTAATAACAAAATGTAACAATTACATTAATAAAACAAGGCATCTTAAATTGTACTTACTGCCACTTTATTTGAAACTTTTTATTTTTAAAATGTTTTAGCTGAAGCAACAGGTAAGTAGAATAGTATTGTTCGACATGAATAAAAATTGTATTTTCACACCTACGAGGTTCCTTTCACTAAGGTGCTAATTGAGATGATGATTCAGAGTTTGTTTATTTGCTTAACAAATTAACTACATCTCCAGCTTATCCAGCTTTCTCAAATTCCTTGAACACATTATGATATGCATGATGGGATTTAGATGCTCCAACAACAATTTGTAAAAATTATTGTTGCATAAAAATATTTTAATGACTGTCCAATTCACAATTGGACAGTCAAAGATACCATTTAAGATTTTTTTTTTCCTGTCTGCCTGTTTTGAGAAGGATTGTAAAACTTTAACTGTAACACTGCTTTAGAGTGTCAATTTCCATTTAACCCACACCTAGGATAGTAAGTACCATCTTGTATTCATTATTTTTTATTCAACAAAGCATCCTCGATATCTTGTAAAACCGCAATAGTGTTGCTTTTTTTAGTCATGCTGATGTAACACTGAATTGGGCTTAGGGGTGGCATGAAATGAAATGCTGCAGAATTATGCAAATAGCAATAAAATGGGTGGTGGGATCAGATTTTAAGTAGGTGGGGGACTGATTATGTAGGGCTCAGGTGCAGCCTGGTGTCCCTCTTCATGTTGCAGAGCAAGAGGTGTCCATGTCACATGGTATGACTAAATCCCCCAGCATTCGTAGACCCTCATCAGGATTTCTCCTCCCTCCGAGTGCAGACTGTCACAATGAATTTTCCGCCAGGACATACTGATGAGATCTCCACACAAACATGAACAAATAGCTGTATAAAGCTCACTGGAGAGTGAAATGCTGCCATTCTGAAGTAGCTTTATAGTGTAACATTTAAAAATCTCTCAGTTTCTCTGGATTTATGCAAGGTTTGTTCTCTTTTGGCGACTGAAACAAACATTCATTTTGTGAATGCTGTTACTAGAAGAATACGACTCAATGCTAGCCATTCTCAGCATCACCGAGGTGGTTAAACGTCAGAAAAACCACAGATATGCAGAAACTCATTTTTATTACACTGTCAAGAAAGATGTTAGAGGTGCAAAAGAGTGAGAAAGTAATACTTTCAGCACATAACAGAAAGAAGAGTAATTGCTCTGTTTTCTCATTTGGAGTTATCAACTTTCATTTTTGAAACATGCTCTATTTGGAAATCTCATAGTTAATGTATGGGTCAATCTTTTAAAATATCAACAAAGAGACTTTGGGGCTAAATACACTAATCTTCAACATATCATGATAAGCAAGTTTAAAATGAAAATAAAGTTAAAAAAATGCTTCAGAATTATTTTGCCTTTGTTTTAAAACAAGTTAGAACTTGTTTCCTCTGAATGCATATTGTAATTGCTGCCCTAATGTTCACTAAAGACCACTCATGCGAGGAAGGATTTAAAAAAAAAACAATTTTCAGTACTATTCCTATTATTCAATTCATATAGAGAAGTTGGAATTAGCTAAAATTGGTATCGACAAGTCAAAGCTTATTGAAAGTAAGAAATAGGAGATTGATGCCAAAATTTAGAGTGCTTAATTTCTATCCTAAAATTTCCCAAATCCTTCACCGCCAGGCACAGGATATGAAAGAAAGCGGATAGAAAATAAAGTACTTACTTGTGACCGAGGTGTTTAAGGAAGTAGCCCAGAACTTTAAGTGCCTGAACTCGTATACTTTCGCTCTTGGAGGCTAGGAGTTTGCAGATCACCCTGTCATAACAAGAAACATACAGGTATTAAACTCTGGGATTAGTTGCCTGGGATTAGTAAAGCTATTTCTATTTGCTAAAATATAAAATGTCAGAATAATGAGAAAAAGAGCATTTTTGGGGAATTTTTTTTCATACAATTTCCAAAATCTTAAGCTTTTTAGGTTAATATTAAACCATACTGTTGTTTTATCCTAACTGTATGGTTGGTATAAAATAAATTTCAGCCAAAACCTTTGGGAAAATAGAGAAGATGATGACAGCTCTCAAAACTTCTTTTGGGTTAATTTACAATTAATTTAAATGGAGGCACCTCCTATACAATTTTGCAGTGGGCAAGGATATCAACTAACATTCATACATCTAACTTTAAAGATTATAAAAATTAAAAAAGACAGGATATCTGTCATTATTCTGACATTCTGCAAATAGAAGTAAGTTTGGTATCCAAAACTGACATAAAAGAGTAAATGTGCATTTTCCCACAATGTATATTAATATTAGGTTCCAACTCTCTCTCAGCTAGTGAAAGTAATGACAAATGTAAGAAAAAAAAAAGATGTCGGTGTTTAGTGCAGCAACAGATCTTTTTATATGAACAGGCATGTGTGGGTTGCACTCACCTGATGCCATTTCTTTGATCAAAAGCGGGGATCATGGATGCTGGGTGCTCAGACATAAGAGCCACCAGCAGCTGGAGGACATCGTGGATATTCTCATCCTACGTAGGAAAAAGAAAGCAAAGGTGAACAGGTGAGGCGGCAGCGGAGGAGGGGAATAAAAAGAAAAAGCCCGGAGGGGAGAGATGAATAGAGGGCTAGGAGGACAAAGAGAGTTCCATGGGTGGGCATGGAGGGGGGATTGCGGAGGAGCAGGTGGTATTTTAGAGCAAGAATAGATATAATTGTTACAGAAGAGTACATTCTGTTCAGTCCATTGTTGCGCCATTTTTTATGCTGTCACCGTACTGAAGCTGACTCACTCTCCCGCTCGTTTAAGTGGACTATAACTTCAGCCCCCAGATTATTGTGCATACTTTGCCACCAGCTCCACTCCGGCTCTGAATCCCTCTTTCCCCCCCTGTCTGACTCTGGTTTAATAAAGGAGAAAGCATCTGTACCTCGTGCATTGTCAACAAATAGTTGAGGATACTCTGCAGCTCATCCTCCTTCACACCTCGGTCCTAGGAAAGAAAAACAGATTCACAACAATTTCTCAGTGATCTTCAGTTGTTTTATTAACCTTGGACGACGCAATACAAAAGAAGGAACACAAATTGATATGAAGGCACGCACGCATGCACACACTGACATGTTGCAGAGCTTCTTTGGCGTTGCTCAAATTTAATGCTATTTTCCACATATTTTAGATTAGGCCATGAACTGCCCGGGAGGAGAAACAACAGAGAACATCAAAGAAGTAAAGTGATTTCCCACAGCTTAAACTATGCCATGAAGATAATCACATTTTCTCCCTCTACCTTCAATATGAGTTGTTTGAGGAAGAGGAGCATGAAGGCTCTCAGCGAGATGATCTCCTTCTGGGACGGCCGTGGACCATCTGAGCAAAAAAACACACAAACATAAATGAAAAATTGCTATTTCCGCCAATAACAACGGCACTTTAAATATGCTTGCAGCTGAGTTTGAGTGAGCCCTTCTGTTTGCTGACATTTAGTTTTATTAGGCTTCCTCGAGAGCTGGGGGGAAAACATTCACATGCACTCACTTTCTCTACATCAGAACTGTAAATCACTGTCATTAACTCCAGTGGCAATTTGGCAATCGAGATATTTTATGCTTGCACTAATCTAACTTATTAGAGCAACGGTGAAGTCATTTGCACAAAAAAAATGTGACTGATGGTTGAGTGATCCAAAGCAAACAAGCGGCGTAATCCACTGTCTACTTTGTAGCTCTGGCACTCCATCAGTTGTTTGCAGTGAAGGGCTGCTAGTAGGAGAAGCAGGAGCTAAAAACACAAAAGCATCTGACACACGGAATAAGGCATTACATTTATCTGAAAGTCCATACCATCTTTGAATTAAGCTTTGTTCCCATTATATCTCATTCGTTTAGCCACTAAAAAAAGTCCCCGTCATATTTTCTCGACTTTATTTCACTAAAATAAAGTAATAATCTGGTGTTACACCCTTCAGTGTGCAACATTACCTCAGATCATATTCAAATGATTTTGTTCAAATTATATTAGCAAACAAGGAAAATCAACGGTGAAGACTTCAAAACCCATTATCATTCTGAGGCTTTGTTCATTTAATAGAAATCTATAACTATTTATGATGTCTAACTTGTGTGCATTTGCAAGATGTTTGAAGCGCTTGTCAACAGAAATACCATTAAAAACAGTAATGTAGTTTGTTGCTGAATAAAATGTACCATATCCTCCTGCAAATCTATAACTCACAAGAGACCCTGTGCTGGTGGAAAAAAAAATAATAATAAATAAAAATAAAAAATAAAAAAAAACTAGCAGAGAAAAGGCCAAAGAAGAATATCTGTGTGATTCTTTGTCATGCTTTAGTGCCCTTGAATCATATGAGTGTGTGTAGTCGCCTGAGCCAGTTCAACTGTTCTTCACAAAGCTAAAAACATGACACTGAAGCTCTCCTTTGTTATCCATCATCTTCATCTGACAAGCTGTTCCACGGTGCTGGAAAAAGTGACAGAGACCATCCATCATAGTTTATGTGGCTGTCTGTGAAAGCAAGTATATGCCTCAGTTTTAGGGTCTTGCATACAGAGAGGACATTAAAAAGGCTTAAATTTGTCTAAATTGCTTCTCTGGGGGAAGTTTAATAACTGTATTTTATTCCTGGAAATTAATTTCCCTCCTTTCATAACTACTAATCTGACTTAACAGTTTCGTGGCATAATTGTCACACAAAATTAGATTTTTTTTTTCTCTCTGACCCGACATGACGCTCAGGTGGGTCAAAGAGGTGTATTTTCTTCACAGAGATTACATGTTCTGAGTATTAACTTGAGAAGGTATTAGCACAATTTTGCAAGAAAGGATGAAAAATTCACATCATATGCGCAACCTTGAACCTTTTCATACATTTGTCAAAATGTATGGTAAACACGGTAGAATGTATTTTACTCTGTTTTTTTGGGGTTTGTTTGTGAAAGACACAAAAATTCCATAATTTAATAATGCAAGGAAGAAAAGTAACATTATTTATAATTGTCGTAAAAAATCACAACCCAAAATTTGGGATTTTGTCTTCAGCTCACTGAGTCTATACTTTGCAGTTCCATCTTTTGGTTCAATTATAGCTTTAAGTCTTTTGTGTTAATATCTACTAACTTTGCACACCATTTACCACTAGCACCTAGTAGCGCTTCTTGACTCAACTCTATACAGTTTGGGTGATTTTCTATTACAACTGAGTAAGAAATCCCAGAATCTGAAAAGTAGCATGATGAGATATCTGAAACAAACACAATGCAACAATGGGGACAGGAAAGTCATTTTGAACAGTCTTTTCAGTCAGGGTTTTTTTGTAGGAGTCAAACGGCTTATCAGACTGTTGTAAGAGAGTCGCTCATGTGATGCAACCTGTGACTTCACCCCCTCGATAATCGGTGAACACAATCTTCTGATGTTGCATTTTCAGCACCTGTTGAGCCCTGCAAAGTAATAAAAAGGGGTTGATGCCACATAACCGGAACTAGTGGAAAATCCAAATAACCGTAAAGAACAAGTCAAGCCGGTAGTGCAAAAAGGTCACTATAATAAGCATGACATTTTTACCAATTACTTTCTGTAATGCTGGGTTCAACAGAAAGCACCTGAGAACATGGGTTTAAGTCTGAACTTGAATATGCTTAGTTCTGAACTGCACGATTGTAGATATGAGTGTAAATTTAACATTATCCTGCTGGAAGTTGAACCTTCACTCCAGCCTCAAACATTTTTACATCCTTTAAAGAGTGTTTTTCCAAGATTGTTTTGCATTTACAACTCTTACCAGCTTATCTTTTCCTGATGAAAATACATTTTCCTAAAGCATTGTGTTGCTTCCAGTGGTTCACCTTAAAAAGATCAACTGAACTTATGAAAACTATAACTGCACTAGAACCCATACATTATTTCCCTTGCACTTCACAGTAGCATGTTAACTTGTGATGGACCATTACCTTTATATCTAAATTTGTTAATTCAATGTGTTAGAGAGGAGTACCTAGTGTAATATCCCATAATTAATTAGCTCCATATGCCCAGCTCCATGAATGGACAGTAAAAAAAGGAGCAAGGAGAGAAAGAGTGTCTCTGAATAAAGCCTGGGTTAACGCTTTGTGAGAGACTGTCTGGCCAAACAGTACAAGATTTCATCATCGAAGGCACTTAGAGAATCATTAAAGGATTCAGAATGTCTGCAGAAAAAGCTCCACGTAGGACGAGGTTGAAAGTTAATGCTGAATGGCAGAGATCTTCCGCCCTGAGGCAGCTTCGCATTTAAAACAGATGATTCTGTGGTAGAAACTACTGAAAAATCTTTTCAGATAACAGTTTGCATTTGCATTTGTTAAAAGTTAAACTGCTGCTATTTCTGTTGGGTCTCATATCATTTAGAAGATTTGACAGTGTAAAGTGCATTGCAGTTTGATAAACAAAAGTCTGGAGTTCTGTTGGACCTGGACAGCAACACCTCAATATCTGCAAGTTTGTCATGTAAGGGCGGTTCTAAGCGGAATAAGTGATAGTAGAGAAAAAGCATTATTGGAGAAAACTCTTGTCTCTTTGAGGAGGTGCTAGACTGACATCAAGCATGAAGTGGAAATCTTTTCACTTTCAAGCCCATAAAAGTTAGTCTCTTGAGTTTCCAACTGCTAAGAGTTTTCTCAAACAAGCTGATGTAATACAGTGGTAAACATGGTCTGTGCTAACACTTTCAGGACTTTGCAAGCACCAAAGTCAACATTTGGATTTACAGTTAAGGCCAGATCATTATATCTAAACATAAATTAATTAATTATTTTAAGCATTTGTAAAAATAAGAGGACTGACATAATTGTACAGAACACAACTTCAATGTCTTTTCCAAATAAGAAATTGTAAAACAAGTACGAATTTATTGAATTTTTCAAAAAATACTTTTACAAAAATGTTGATTCATTTATTTATTTTTATTTTTTCTGAAGGCTTAAGAATCTGTTTTGACTTGATGAGGTGAACTCAGGGAAGATCTAAGAAGAACAATTGTGGAAACAGCAAAAAGTGGGACATTTTTTAAAAATTTTCTAAAAAAAAACACATGTAAGTTCACCATGACTTTAGACACTTTATTTCACGTGGATGTTAAACCAGTTGGTCCTGGTATAGAAGAAGACCCATCCTTTCATCCTCAGATTAATAGAAAACTGGTTAGGATGTTCAGTGGCAATTGTGCAGCCTTTTTTATTGTTATCCAGAGTGAAAAGAGTTTCTAATTTAAGAAGCCTATACCAGTAATTAGAGTAATATAATGCTGTTGAACTACTTGTTGCTAGTTGTAAAACAAGTACGTGCAAGTGGTGCATGGTAGATATACATTCAGCATTTGTTATGCATGCAAAAATACAAAAGAAAACTGATATAGGCACAATTGAGAAGAAATAACTGTATTTTGTGCTTATGTTACTGCAGCCAAGAAGTGGCATTTCAGGCAGAAAGCCATATTGCCCAGGATAAAGCTCGCCACTTTTGGTCGTAAAATGCAAAGCTCCTCCAAAGCAGAGTTTTAATACATGGCCTCTGAATTATGTGTTGTGTTTGTTGAGGCTTCTTGCCCAGAACCCCCTTGAAAAATAAGCTTTTAATCTCAATGTTTTTTTTATTCTGGTAAAATAAAGGTTAAATATAATAAAAGAAAAAAATATATATCTGAGTGATGATAATTATATTGTGCAATTCTAATGAGAATATTTAAGAATGTTGTACATATATCTACATTATAAAGTGAACTACCCATACGAGGAAGAAAACAATAGTACAAAACAACTATTCATAAAAAAACAAATTTATGCTAATTTGCTGTGGTCACTTTCTTCTAGCACTAAATGGCAAGAAATTTAATTATCATACTGACTGAATTCTAACCTATTTGCAAAATTCAAGGCAAATCCCTGAACAAAAGGCATAAAGTTCCCTTTCTATTACATTACACTCGTTCTGTTTATACCCGTAGGAGGGAATTGAATTATTTGCAAAATAAATGGAAAAGGTGCAAATTCATTTTGCATCTCATGAAAGAAGTAAAGCCAGAGGAAACAACCCCCCCGCACCCCTCCAAAAAAACTGTAATACAACAAATGTTAATGTTCAACTTGGAATCAACCTCATTCCCTCAGACTGACACTCAGATGAATCCATTTTCATCCACAAAGCCTGCGGTGAGATCAAAACATCTTCCTATTACTATGTAAATTAGTGCATATCACGCTCTTACAGTAAAGTCAAGTGTGCGCGCATGTGGTCTGTCAAACCATAACTAGCTGCTTTTGCCTTTGAATGGCAGCGACTTATGTGTCTGAGGCTAATTGCTGCTGCGCTGTTATCAGCGCTCCTTTATGGGGCTAAATCCCAGCAGTCAAACGGCAATATCGCCAAACAGAAAAGGGAGCCAGACAGTCACTTGATTAGAAATCCCAAACGCTCCCTTGGATCTTCCCGTCAAATTTGTCTGTTGCTATGGTGACCCCAGATGCACACTCACAGTCAGCCGCAGGACCGGGGCGAGAAAGAGGTTGATTAAAGTGAGGGCGTGCTCTGACCTTTTTGATGCACCGGTTCGTAGCAACGGAAGAAGTTAAAACTGTCTTTTTCACGTTTCTTTTTTAAACGAGTACAAAGAACAGCTACCCTGTTCTCACAGAAAGCATGAAAGGATAAGTTAACAATCCACCTAGTATAAAATATTTTTACAAAGGCATCAGAGAAACATTTAGTCTTTTGAGGACAATTCCCTTCATCTAAAAAAAAAGCTCAATGAACCATCTGCTCCTGAAAAAAAATCTTCATTCTCAGAAACACTGAATCATTTTTGCCGTTCCTCTATAAGTCGTTGTTGTCCAGGGAGGCAACCACCTTTCCCTGCATACGTTCATATGGAATTCTGTTAATTGATTCAAGAACAATCAAGAGTTCTTCACATTGTGGAATAAAACCAATCTTTGTCTGAGTGTCGCAAGGCTTAAAAAGCACTAGGATAGTTTCTCAGACCCTCCTACATACTGAATGATCACATTTGAACTCCTCATCTTCTTCTCTGTTTTACTGGACTGAGTTGAGTTTTCAGGAGTTAGGGCCAGTGACTCATGTGACATTAAGAGCCCTATTATTAAACCTAATGGCCCCATTAGTGTTATTATTGTGACTACAATTCATAAGCGTGATCCTTCATACTCATGTTGAGAAGTGGAACGCCTCCTAACATTTTAACTTTTTTTTTTTTTTTCAGAGCATCACATCTGTGCAATTCTATACCACAGATTGTTAGGAGGTCCTCAATTTAATACACATTCAAACTACATTGAAAAAAGGACGTCTCAAGAAAGGAGTTTTAAGCTGGTTTAACTTGGGTTAATGCATGACTGCTGTGCTGCCGTGCTACAAAATTGACAAGCATGGAAATGAATTAAATAAATAAATAACACCAAAGAGGGATATAAAATCTTGCACCAGATCAAGTTCTTAGCAGGGTCTTAATAACTGCGTATTTTGACCTATGAATTCATAGTAGTATGAATCATGGTTTGATCATCAACAGAGAATCTAAATCTAAATCTCTTGTCTTTCCTGTGTTGTTAATAGGTGTTAAACCTGACAGATATGGACATGGATTTACATCTGAAGGTGAAGCAAATAGAATAAAGATTTTATAAATCACCACTTGATAACTCTAAACATGTTTTAAAAGAGTTTCTGTTCAGTGAAGAATCGTTTAAAATATTGAAATGAGAAATGAAGGGTTCGTTGTCCAGAAAAAAATATTTCAATGTGCAACTGACAGATCACTTTTTTTTTCTCTGAAGAGATTGTGGCGCCCCCTAGGCCATGGTGCCCAGGGCACTGAGCCAAATTGCCCAACTGAAGACAGCTCGAGGATAAGGCAATAGTACAGAAGGGTCACGTCCTGTTCCACTTAACTTAGTGTCAGGTTTAAGTTGTGAACATACCGAGTCCTTTGGGGGTGATTCCGCTACACTCCAGAGGGTTTATAGCCCAGTAGTAGTACTTCAGAGTATGCATCAGCTGCAGGACAGTGCCGACGCGGCGAATGGTGGTGTAGATGGTGGCGGTGCCGATGAACTCTGACGACAGGTACGTGTAGAGGGACAGTTGGACCTGTGCAGGAGCAAACAGTCCATTCATGTAGCACACATCGATACACTGAGACCAACAGAAGCTGCTGGATGAATCAATGAGCAGAATGTTTATTACAGTTAAAGAAAAATGCAATTTAACTGTACAAAGACAGACACAGGGGAATGCAAAAAACATCTACCGCTTTCTTTATGCTTTAATATTTTAGGGTTTGAAATTACGCTTCCATTCGAGGAGCTGCTTTCAATTCCTGACATTTAAGAGGGAGCCTCTCTCTTATTACATATTTGCTCCTTCATCTCTTCCTTCTGCTCCCTTTCGCCCTCTCCTAATATTCCTTCAGCTAATCCTCGATGCACATTGGCTGAATTGAGATGGCTCACAATCCTCTGAGCTCATTACAGCAGCCACCATGCTGAGGGCCGGCCTTAACAAGGTAGCTCTATTTAAGCGGATGAAATTAACGCTGGGCCACGGCCTGACCACATCACATCAGAGATCATCTAGGCTGGGGAGTGGACTCAGCTGTCTTAAAAAGGCCTTCAACGCAATACTTTATATTACATTCCACACACTCAGCTGTTAAATTTGCAGATATTTTGCACAGCAAAACAACATTTCTGATTTTCTTTTGTGCATTGCTGTAACAAAAATAATTGGTTTTCTTCAGCAGGACACTGTTTAACAGTAATCAGGGTTTTTGGAGACATGATGAGAAACTTCTTTCTGTGTTTCATTAAGCCCTAAGTATTACCAAGTTTAATCTTGGCATTAATCAGGGTAGCAATGACACCTTGAGAGGAGGAAAATATTAAAGCTCAGTGGGAGGTAGAACAGAGGTAAGATTTGACAATTACATTTTGTGCGTGCGTGTGTATTTGTTCTTGCTTTTTACATTTTTGATGCCAGCCTTGTTATCATTAATTTCTTTCCCTTAATTTCTTTACTGGCACTTGAATGAAGGGAGAGAAAAACCCAACAAGATAATTCAGTTTGATCCGCTTTGTGTTGACAACTAGAATCAATAAACAAAACCCAGTGTTGGATTCTATGTTTGTTGTTTCTCCCAAACAGCATTGACTAATCATATTTTGTCTCTTCCGTTTTTGCTCTGACTTGCCCCGGAGTGCAGCTCAACTGCAAGATCACCTCTTAGGGTCAGGGAGAAGTTTTGCGAACCGCGGAGGCATGAGCCAGCGAGGCCTGAGGGAATGCCATGGTTTCTCACATCTATTTCAGAGAGAAAATAAGAAAAGAGGAGATGCACATCCCCTCTCTCCTCTTGGGGTCTTTTCAAATGTCACATTTCCTATTTGTTTCCCTCGCTCGCTTGTTTTCTCCTTTAAGAGGACGGCGAGTCGGCCCCTCCCTGCACATCCTCTGAGCTCATTTATTAAATTACTGTAAAGGGTAATGGGCGCTGAGATGTCAGTTCTGCATTTCCTCTTTGTTTGTTTCAAGCACAATCTCAGTCAAAACATCACAGAGAAGAGAATTAAATACTAATTTGCTGTTGTGTTAATTTTTGTCTCTCTGTCATCAGTTTAGTAATCTGTGGTTCATTTTGGAAGCAAAGTACTTGAAGAGATGCATACAAAGACAAACAGACCTTGGCAGGTGTGTGTATCCAGATGGCAGCGTTGAAGAGGACATGGTCACAGAGCTGTTTGAGGAGTGGCGCTCCATGAGGTAAACCGTCCAGATACTTTGCGAAAGACAGGAACTGCTCAAGGACTGCCCTGGTGATGTGAATCCGAGACGACTGCAAGAAGAAGGGCAAGTATGAGCTGTAGCTTAATTAAGCAAAGATGTAAGTAAGCAAACAAAGTCTATTTTCACAATCAACAAATGCAACACTATCCATTCCCATAAACTGCATGAACAGTGCCTTACAAAAACCCAGTCCATTGAATCTTTTACATTCTCAAACTGGATTTACCTCTCTAAAATAGTTATTAGATTCCCTATGAATCAATACTTTGTATAACAGCTTTTTGCTTCAGTCGTAGCCGTCCATCTACCAGCTTCAAACATCTAAGACTGAAAAATTCCCCAATCCTCTTTGCAAAACAACTCCAGCTTAGATTGAACAGGAAGCATCACATATTAAAATTTTGCTACATATTTTAAGATTTTAAGATGCATTTAGGTTTGAACTTTGGGTGTTTTTTCCAATTTTTGGATTATTTGTAAAAAATAAAAAAAGAAGAAAAAGAAATTTGCAGTTGTGTAAAAGAAGGAATCCACATTTTTGTAATGTGTCAAAGTATCCAAAAGATCAAGGGAATTAATATTTTCCATAAGCTATTATCATTCCTGAAAATGTTTTAGAGGCAGATTTTTATGGAAAAGAATCACTGTTATTTCATTGCAAAAGATCAGGAATTTTTCTGTTTTTATTACACAATATTACTTTCATCTACAAGTGGAAAAAACAAAATAAGCATGAGTTTATTTTTATTCAGGATAAATAGCTTTGGCTAATAATGAAGAGCTATTTGTGAACGCTTCAAAAATCTTGATGAATAAAGAGGGGGTCGCAGTCAAAACCAAGGCTTCTCTTCTTTTAAACAGAACAAACAAACACGACTTGAAACCAAAGGAGGCCGTTGCACTGACCTTCTCCAGCAGGTACCCAATCACCAGAAAGCCCTTGCCTCCCAGCATTTGCTCCTGCATGGCCACTGAGCTTTTCAACAGCTCCACCAGGAATGCCAGCAGAGTCGCACTGCAACATATAAAACATTGAAGAGTTTAAATGCGTTTTCTACCACATCAAGTGGAAAAAACATGATCCATGTTCCCATCATAGCTCCTTCATAACTTATTTTTAATACGCAGTTGTATTTTCTCCCTTATCTCCATCCTCCTGATGAAATTAAATAAATAATCCATCTGCAGCTGACATGATGTTGAGATGGTGCCTGATAAGTAACAGCATTAAAGACCACATGATGGAGTGCAATCAGGAAGATCTTAAAGTCAGAGGAGGACAGATAGTTTGGAAAAGAAATCATTGTCCTCTGAGGAAAAAATGTCTCTCCTATTGCCCTTTCAAACTAATATTCCCCACTTGCCTCCAGCACATCTGTCTAATATCAGATTTCATATGAACATAAGGTTCAATTTGCACCTTTTTTTTTGTTAATGACTAACCAGACTGTGGTGTCCACACTGCTGTCATTGAGCTGTTTGTAATCCAGCTGAGCGAAGAGTGGAAACAGGACCTGGATGCCTCCTATAGAGTGGATGGCACTGTGGATGGAGTGGGTAACAATGGCCTTCACATCCTGTAGGACAAAAGAGCAGTTAGCTTCACAAGCGTAAGCCACAGGGATGCAAAGGCGAACAAAACAAGCCTAACTTGCCACAGGCATGTACTGTTACAGCTTCAGTTCTGGTGCTTCAAAATAAAATCTCCTTTGGAAATTTAACATTTACATGTGTTTAACATTTTTGGGTTCCATTATCCTAATATTTAGCTTCTTCCATACATTCTCTATCAAGTTTTGTTGGGATGCAGTGCTGACCACTCCAAAATGTCCATATGACTTCTAGTCAGATGAAACATATTGGTAAAATTACCTGTTGTATGATCACATCTTTTTTCAAAAAAAAAAAAATAACTGGCTTAGCAAACAATGACCCCATTTACTTTTGCTGGTTGTGGTCTCTTACGCAGACCCTGTGTGACATCTTTTCAATATACTGCAGGCTAATTTGTGAAAGGAAAATATTTTTTAGCTCTAAGAATATGTCCTAGATCCACATTTTATTTAAAATGAAATCTGATAACCCAAAACAATGAAGCATACCAACACTACAATTTGCTCCAGAATATGTTTCAATTGCTTTCCATATAGTGCAGTGTGTATTTTTCTATCCATAATATTTAATACATACTTTTTATAGAAAACCACTTAACTACTGTTCGAAAACCAAAATAAACACTACAGCTTTTGCACAAATGCTCCTGAAGTGGCAGTGAGTCAGCCTGTGTCACAGGGGCCTGATACCAAACTGACGTGCTTGTTTATTTTGCTTCATTCATGCTTTTTTTACACTTTCTGAACCAACCAAGAAGATGTAGGCTGCCTTTCTGCAGGATGTAGCTCAAACTGACCTGCAGCATGAGTGCGTGCGGTGAGTGGACAAAGATGGAGGGATTTTCCCTGGGTGATGACTCCAGGCAGAGCTGAGCGTCCGTCGCTTTAGCATTGTAGGTGAAGGAGATGGAGCTGACCAGCTTGCCGTCATACAACACCTGCTTGTGGTGCTCAGCCAGGTGGATGTCGCTCTCCGACTTGAACTTGAAAGTGCTCTGCGGAGACAGACATAATAAGAAAAGCTTGAAGAAAAAAGAAAAGAAATCTTGAAATCAGGGAGACAAATGAGTTGTCAGGAGACGAGATAAGTGCGGGTGTGTTTCTGCATGTACAAGTTCAACACCCAAAATGGAGTCTGCTTAATTGCAGCCTGAGCCTCGTGTAAACAACACAGCATTATCTTAATGAACACAGTGCTAACCCGGGCACTAATTCAATTAGCACAGAATAAGAGGCAGAGCGGGGGAGCGTGTGTGTAGAAAAGAAGCACTCAGGAATCCAGATTTATCTCTTTGTAGTCAGTCAAGATGACAACCCACAAAAAGATCAACACATTTGTATTCCAGTCCCAATATGTTAAATTATGGTTATGCTAACCTTGGCCAAGATTCTAAGCTTCTATAACAGAGGTTAAAGGGCTTAGACATGCATGTATGTTTATTGCTGTTTATGCACAGATAGAAGGAATTACTTTACTGGGAGCAGTTTGTGTTTGCCCATTTCTATCTATTTCTGTTTGCAGAGGCCAGTGAGTTCATGTATCCTGTGGCGGTACTGGTGCCTTAACACATGTGAAACCCTGTAGATAAAAAGGCTCACGAGTTGCATGCAACCCTTTGCATCAGCTCCAGGCGGGAGGATGTTCTCCCTTTTCCAGCAGCTGAGTCTCTGGTGCCTTCCTCAGCCTGACTGCACAGGAAAGCCCCAGGCTGCTGAGATCTCCAGGCCCATGTTGTTCTGAACCTTTCATCTGAGATTTCTGTGAGATTTGAACCCTGAGCAGACTGCACGCAGCAGTAAATTAAATATTCTTATCCTCATCCAAGCTGACATTTAAAACACATTTGCATCCCCTTAGCAACATTTGCAATAGAAATTAGAGATAGTTGCAGGAGCCCAAGTTAACATTAATGCATTCACAAACAGGATGCTTCAACTTTTATACTGAAAAGGTGTGTTAAAGAGATTAACCATTATAGATTACCAACAAAGCCTTGGTAAGATGCAGTGGTAATCCATCACAAAAATAAATAAAGTGCTCTTCGGCTTAATTCGAAGGTTAGTAGGCCCTCTGCACACAAGAAAAAATACTGAATAGCCTGAATGTAAAATTAATACACTTATTAAGATGCACATATTTTGCAGAGTAAGCCCGTTTGCTGTGCAGCACTTTTGAAATTTGTGCAGTTGTGGCCCTGTAAAATAGGCCTGTATTTATGATACCATGCTGAATTAGAGAGGCAGAAAGGTGAATGTGTAAAAGAGCTTTGCTGACTCTTTAAAGGCTTAAGGACACCACAGAGGATTTAAGAAGATAGGAGGAGCATGCAAGAAATGTAATTTTTTTTTTAAACATGTGAAGTTCTACAGAGTGGAGATTAAAGACATACGAGTCCCAAACACACAGAGGAACGAATGCGACAACTGCCACCTTTTTCTGCACCTGTCAGCTGCAGCTATGGTACAGCAGTGATATCAACACACAAACACACACATGCGTTTGATCCATTCAATTCACCCTGCCTCACCACACTGTTTGCAGAAAATAGGCCAAAAGCTGTAAGTAAGCTTTCCAGCATATGACTGAAATGTACAAGTTCACTTGGACTTTAACCATTAAAGATTACTGCAAGCGTAATTAGACTTTCTTTAAATAACTGCTTAGATAAATTGTAGGCTTACAATAGACGCCAAAGAATTTTATTTCACGTTGACTCAGAATTTGCAATAATTTCATATTGTGTCAGGTCTCCCAACAGCACAGTCTGTGTGTGCGTGTGCATGTGTGTGTGTGAGGGAGAGAAATAGAGCTGTTTTTTTTTTTTTTCTGGAAGCATTTTTACGTATTTATTTCACTTGATCTTCATCCCCAGTTTTACCATTTCTATCTAACATATTCTACATATTCCCTTGCTCTGAAAAGTCAGTGACATTCAATGTCTAAATGCAACAAAACATCTGAACTCATATAAATACAATACAGTTATAACGACAGACTGGATGGCTTCAATAATCATGCAGGGGTCAGACTGTTGATGCTGCTTTAGTGAGAACATCTGGAGCCTTGATGAAGACAGCAACCAGCGGCGCTTTCAACAACACAAGTTGCGGAGCACAAAACAAACAAACCCACACACACAATTTCATAAACTCAGAGAAAAAGATAGAAAAGCTCAGGAGCTTTCGTACAGCTACAGCCCACACAGGAACACAAGATGTTATGCTCCTTTTTCTTGTGTCATTAGTGGAGCGTGGGGGCCTCAAACTGCACACGCAGACATTCAGCTCAACATAGTGTGTCGGCCATCATAAGCCGCCACAAATGTGAAGACCACGGGCCTCCTCGCTGAGCTGAAGGCTTGTTCAGCAGAGCAAACTGTCTGGCTGCTCATTACTGAGCAGTAACACTGACAACAGCCAAGGCCAAGAGGATACATACAGTACAGCTGCAAGGGTTACATGTAGTACTTTGAAGATCCAGCTCTCCTGAACATGAACCAAGCAATACGTAAAGAGCACCTTGTTATATACATACATCATTTGTGTGGAGCCAAGATAACAATAAGTGGCCTACATTAAGAAAGAAAACTAGGCGACACAAACTGAGTCTCACTGTTATCACTCTTGAACCAGCTGGAAAAAAACCCACACACTCATCATTACTATACCAGCACGGAGGCCCTGCGTCTTCGAAACAACCGAGCCATTTAATGGTCTCTTCTGGGCATCTGAGAAGGCCATTCTGCGCCATGCAGAGAGGCAATCATCTAACTGATCAGTCTCAGGAAGCTCTGGGCTGTGACAGAGTGCAAAATCAGTATTCATAGAGTAAAAAAAAAAAAAACAGAGGATGTGCATGTAATCATTACGAGGAGCATCTGTGAGATCTAGTCTATAAGATATCCTTACCCATAATGTGTTAGATCAGACAGAGAAGGTAAAGTGTGCAACTCTAGTACAACTGACAGCTTCTATGCAAGGCAAAGGCTCTAGTTCATTGAATAATTTGTAGATCTGTAGATCTGTGCCACCTTTCAAGTGAAGTGGGATATATTCACTGCTGTTAAATGCCTAATAAAAATTTACTTTACAAAAATTTCCTGAAAACATGCATAAAAGAATTCAAAAGCCAATGCATAAAGAAGTCAGAGCACAAAAAAAAAACATTAAGGTGTTAAAACAAAATCCAAAAAAAGAGTACAAATGTCAAAGCAAAATCTGAGACAAAAAGGCAAAGGAGTCACTAAAAGAGTACTGAAAAAATACGGCCAACCAGTAATTTAAAATGTCTGATTATTTCACTATAGTTAGTTAGTATTTGCTTGTTATGTCTATATTGAGACCAATTAGCAATGAATTGGATCTTCCATTTATTTTCAATTGGCATAATACTAGTAGCCTTCATGTTACCTTTTGCACCATTACTTAACATATTAGCTATGCTAGGATAGTAATATGACTACATACTAAAACATGGGGTTGTGCATTCCTGCATGTTATTTCTCTGTTCGTTTACTACAAAGCAGGAAACAGAATTTTTCTTTCATTAAAACACTCTTCAATCTAATAACGAAACAGTGAAAAATGTTCAGTGAGGGCAAAATAATAACCTGTAACTTGTTTAGTAAATATGTTTCTAAGGTTTACATTACTAAAGGTGACAATAATTCAAATTATTACAATTTATTTACTGCTCCATTAGTCTATAATATGTTTGTTTGTTTTAAACTGTAAGAGTTTTTATTTATTCTATGAACAGCACTTTGTATCAGCTGTGGTTGTTTTAAAGTGCTTTATAAATAAATTTGGTATGGTATGGTATAATAAGTAAAGAAATATCTTATGATTTTTGTATATTTGTTCTGAGAATGTGCTGTGATTCCAGCAGCTTGTTGCACATCCACTGTTGCACATCCACAGCTTCATATGGATGCAGTCTCCTGGTGCTGAAATCTTGACAGGTCTGGACACCTTCAAGTAAAGGCTGAAAGCAGCTTGAGGCAAGTCTGCCAAAACAAGGAGAAGACAGCTGGCGAGATGCTCTGGTCTCTCATCTTTCCCTGATAGCCAGGCCAAAAAGGCCTGGAATACGATTTTTAGAGCTCACGGTTCTCTGCAACAAACAGTGTAAAAAGCTCTGATGCTATATTTTTTCCTATAATGTGTGAAAATCCATGTTTACGCTTGTAAAAAACATAAATGTGTATCAAAAATGATTTGATTGCACTTAAAAAAAAGAAAATCTAGGTGTTTCCAATTAAGGAGCAGATTTCAGCAGAATTTTTATGCACGCTGCTTAGGTGAAAACAAAGTTAAGAACCTCTACCTCTAATTCTGTGGGGTTCTCTCTGATTCTACAGCTGTGCATCTTCACATCAACAGCTGCAAGATAATGCATATGAGTTTTGAGAGTTCTTTTAGCATCTTGCTGCCAGCTTTCAAGATGGAAGTTCTTAAATAGTCAAAGTTGACAGCCAGCAGTAGTTTTGAAAATAGTAAACCATTTTTATACCCTGCAAAGACTGATTAAATTATTTTTAAGAGCTTTTAAGTTACTCACAGTGATTAGCCTTAACAAATTTCTTTCTGATGGCCTCAGTCAACTCTTCATCACCCAAAATGTTCCCTAACTAAATGTCTTCGGTGTAAGCAGAACAACTCTGCTTACACCGATGTAAGTAAGCAATGATGTTCCAATCATATTTGTTGTGATACTCCCATGACTAATTTGAGCCATTTTTTAAAAGAAGAAAAAAAATTGACAGTGCACAAACTTATTCCACTCTATAAATCTTTTTTTTTTTTTTTTGCACTCATACTTTTTGATAAGTGTGAATTAATCAGAATAGGTTAACATTAAAGTGATACAGAATGTTAACAAATCAAGTTCATGTTTCCTGAAGTGGAAGTAATGTGAAAATAGGCTTTTCCATACCAGTCTGAACTGTGACGGCATAATATTGTGAAAACATTGCAGTAAAAAGCTTTATGAGCAATTACTTTTTTTCTCTCTTTATTGCTTTGTGGTGCTTCTACTTGTAGAGCCTAATGTTTTGTCTTTCTTTCTTCCTCATTCTTCTTCTCTTTTTAATGATGCAGACATTAAAAAGAAACAGTCTCACAGTAGACATGTTCTTGTGTTTATAGATGTGTATAATTAGGCTTTTATGTGTTTTTATGCATCTTTACGCAAAGAAAAATTACCTAGACAATTAAATGAAAAGGGTATGATAAGTTCACAAACTTGCAGTTTCTATTCTCACCATAGCCTGTTTCTTATAATGACTAAATTCCTATGTATTAATAAATAAAAGCTCAAGATCCCCAACAGCAGATTCAGTAGAAGAGGGTCAGTAACAACATCAGAATTAAAAAAAACCTCTGGGACATGTGCCTCACAATTGATTCAGTGTGATTGGTTGTATTAATGTACCTTATAACCTGGACCGAGCTGATGAATGGCAAAGATCTGAGCCGGGTTGAGAGCTTCACTGAAAACATAAATGGCTCCAAGCTGGCCACAGAAGACTCTGTTCGCATCTGCTGTCTCTGATGAACCCAGAAAGCACTTGTCATAGCTCTGGAAAAAAAAGGAGAAGCAGTTTAACCATAATGTATTTAATAACATTATGGTGCAGTGTCACTTTTTTTCTTAAATCTTGTACATTTTTCATTTTCATTTAAAGGGCCTTAGCTATCTGCAGTGGATGGAGGAAAACAGGAGAACTTGTAATGGCTGTTGGTTTTTAATCTCTTCTCCACCAACTTCACTATCACCTTCTTCTATGTGTTCTGCAGTCTACTCGCCTCCCTACCAGCTACATCCTTTTAATACTTCTTATCACAACGAGATCTGTCCTGCTCCGCTGTTTAAAAATTATGACATAAGTTTTATCTCCAGCATTCAAGAGAAAACACACCGATAGGATCAGTGCATTTTGAGACCTGTTCCATCACCTCTCTGGAGTTTTCTTGATAAGCTGCACAAACCACATGCACAAACTAAAACACTGCCTCGAGGCCAGGAAATATGTGTTCTCCACCCCTACGGTTACAGCAGCAGAAGTTGAAAATTTCCGAGGAAGGAAGCGGGAAGGGCCACAGAAAGGTCAGGCAACCTGTCCCCTGCTAAATGGAAAAGTTGGAAGTTGGAGTTTGGGTGAGTTGTGCTGGAAAAGAGCCCAAGGGCAACTCTCCTGCAGCTGGCAAGCGCAGAGGGCACACCTCAAATGTTTGCCAAGACCACAACATGAGGGAAAGCTTGAAGTAAAGCCAAAGCAATACTAGATTTCAGAGCTTTATCAGAGGCACTTCTTTGAAAGTTAAAGATGACTTGTGTAAGACTATTTCTTTGGCTGCTATTAAAAGAAATCTAGTCAAGCAAAAATGTATTCTATGATATTAAACAATATTAACAGTGTACTTACATCATTAGTGTTGACATGCCATGCCATGTCGCCGTAGGACACCAGCTGGCCGTTGACATAGCAGCGGATCTCTGAGTTTCTCCAGCGATTATAGATATGGACAATGCTGATCATGTACCACTGAAAAAATAACACATGGAAACAGTTAAGTTTGATTTGCAACCATGCCGTGAAATATCATTTAATGATATCTGGTCATCATTTAGGTCCGATTTGGGTAATATATTAGAAAGAACACAAGATACTAAATAAAGTCTGGAAATAGTATTTTCCAAACTATTTTCTTTTCCACGCTCGTCTAACCTGGAAAACACAGAAATAACCCCATTAGTCATTCCTCTGCGTTGCTTTTTGTCCTGTGTGCTCATTTCTGTCTTTTCAGCAGTAAAGATTCTTTCTGCTGAACTCCTCATACCGAAGCTGTCTATGACTGCGACCTGTTAACAATGATTGCAATTTGTTCAATTCTTTCAGTAAGTGGGGCGAAAATTCTGCCAGGTTAATGAGGGAGCAAATGTCCATCCAAACATTACCACCTCCCCAGTGCACACATGAACATTAACCCATGCACCAGCCAGACAAACGAGGGTGACATACAAATTGATCAACTGGAACCACTGGGAACTTTGTTAGGCTGCGCCGGGAATCCATTGGGTCAGCAAATCCCGCAGAAGGCCATCTCATCAACCGAATGTGTGCTTGTTTCCGTGCACACGCAAGGACTTTGTGTGGGTGTTTGTGTTTAGGACAGCAGCAAACTGCTGACAGCGTGGCAGAGGGGGCCTTAATTGACAGACCTTATCAAGGCTTATCAACATTCGCAGCGAGTGCAGAGAGAGATGTAGAGGGAGAGAGAGCAGGAGAGAGCAGGGCCGTTGCCTAATTGAACAAGTGGCACAGGATTTCCAGATTGTGTGTTTCCTTACCTTACGTGGCTGGAAATCGTATTTTACACAGTGCTGGAAGCCTTTTCCTTTGGACTTCAGGGATGTCACAATGAGACAGTTTCCCACAAAGTGAGCAGAATAACCGATTCCTTTACTCGTGCGAAAACTGTAGAAAAATCAGAGAGATAAATTTTTGGTCTTTTTGTTGTTTTAAGTTCAACAAAAAAGAAAAAGTTAGGTAATAAACAAGAGACTGAACACATTGCAAATAAAAAATACAATAAATGTGTATGAATTTCTAGAATTTATGTATTATATGTGATACTGTTGAAAGGAATTGCCTCCATAAAGATTACTCTGTTTTTGCTTTTCTTGTTGTCTTTAGGTGATCTAATTAATATATAGCCAATTAAACTATGACTGAACTATGACTAACTAAATAATTATTTTAATAAAAAGTTGTATAAATAAATTCATAAATTAACTCATTGCCCACATTGTTTAGTTTAATTTTACGAGGTAGACTCACAGAACAGAACCTGCCAGGCAACATTAGGTAGGCCAAAAGATCTAAAATAAAAAAAACATGTGCCCCAATCAAAAAACATTTAGAAACAAATAAGAAACAAAGACATTAACAGCTATCAGTCTTTAAAAGGGTTAAAAAGATTTTGGAATTCCAGAAAATTACAATGAAAGCCATAATCCACCAGTGGACAAAACTTGGAGGGAAATTTTTCCCTAAAACGCAGAGCCTACCAAAGATGCATTAAAAAGGGTGGGAGGGTCAGGAAAGAAATGAAAAGACATTGTTGTGACATAATCACAACAAATTCAGCAAGCAGTAGTGGTCCAAAACGTCTCCACAGGGATGTAAAATACTCATTGCCAGTTATTAAAAATTTCACAATATCTTGAAAAGGAAGGTGTTCACATAAACAATACTAATGCACAATATTACCAAAGAGAAGATGACAAACATTTAGCTAACAAGGCTTTTTGCTCAGCTTAAAACATATGGAAGAAACATCTATACGAGTGCAGGTTGTGAACACGGTTTACAGGATGAAAGTTGACAGGTATGATGTTCACGGTCCAGGTATTGATTTATATATTAAATTGCTCCACTGGATAGGTCTGCTTGTAGATAAAGATGTCCAGCTGACCAAAGCACAGAGTGCAGTGATGTGTGAGAGGTTATAAATGACAGTGTCTAACAGTCCTAATAGCTGGGTCAGGCATGGAAGAAAATATTGTCTCAGTAATCAGGGACAGGTTGAAAAGTGGCAACAAGATGTTTTCTGGCATGAGCAGAAAAAACAGTTTCCAAAAATTTCCAAAAATCTTTCTCTTCTAATTTAGAGTTAGAAGAGAAAGATGCTGCAGTTGTTACAACCAAGACAATTCTTAGTTTTAGACGGCAACTACTTTTTTTATATTTATCCAATTAGTTTGATAAGATATGAAACATTAAAGTGCAACAAAGCAAAAATCAGAACAACATTTTTAAGCGGGGAAACAAATATTTAGGATCAACATCACCCACACATTTTATTTTTTTAAGCCAGTGACAGACAACTGATTTTCCAAACTTTTTTTTTCTTGCAACAGCATCATGGGTTGCAGATTACAATTTCTTGACATTACTAATCCCTTTTCCCTTCATTTGTCCCCCGTAATATTTATCTTCCCACTCTCGCTACATCCACGTACATACAGCGCAGTTTCACAGCTAAGACACATTCCTCTCCTAAAATAGGCCCAGAAGGATCACACGCGCAGCAAAGCCGGAGAGCAGATATAAATCCCTCTCGAGCGAATCCCTGGTATGCATTAGGACCGCGTCAAAGTGCGTTATCGTGGTCGTCATGCATCTTCATGGGCCGCTGTCAAACATGCTACTTGAGTAGCAGCTGCATCTGGGGGAGGATGATAAGACCCGGGCCAGAACAGAGGAGGACGTCCTCCCTCTCTCACTCAGTGCTTACCATGACAATCTGACAAACGGTTACTAAGGAAACAGGATTACATCCCAACACTTTACATGATTAGAGCTCATCTCTGTGATGGTATCCTTCCTTCAGGAGATTATCTCCTGGTTCACTTTCTTTAGTTTCTTGGTGGTAACGGGTCTTTGACTTTTCTGGGGAGGGTTTAGGTGAATGAGGATGCTGCTAGTTAGCATCACAGATACATGAAGGGAGAGTAGATGTCCAGAAAAGAAGCTCAATTAAATAAAAGGTCAAAACCAATGAAGCTTTACACTGGCTAACATCTTGCTCTTACAACACCAACAGTGAAACGAGCCGAGTCCATAACTGCACAGCAGCCAGAAAGCAATCAACAAACCATACACTCAACACGGAGTGTCTTGACATTTAAAGTTTTGTTCCAAATCAATAATCTATTTAATTATTACCTCACTGTTTATGACATACCATTATCTCACAATTTGGAGACCTTAAATCCATGCATGCTGCTTCAGAAACACAAACTGGTTGTGTTTCATATGTAAGATCTTCTATTCATAATTCACCCTACATTGTATGTTTTTATTGTGAAAATTATTTAAGTCTAACACATCAAGAAATATAGCTGCCTTTTTGCTCACATGGAGCATCTGAGGGCCAAAGCTAATGCTGAATCTATTGACTAATGCTAATAGAGTTAAAAAATATCAGCAAAGCAAATGAGATCAAACAGGTTGGACATTCAACCCCGGGCTTTCTTCAGTCATGCACTGCCAGACGACATAGGTAGTGAGATAGAAAAATGTAAGAAATGAATTAGAAGTTGCACTTAAAGATCTCTACAATTAAAAATAATCACTGCAACAGAGTTTTTAGCCTTTCTGGTCTTTTTCTGGCTCCAAGTGAAGCCAGTATCTCTTTTTGCAATAATCTCATCTTTTGTTGAAGAGCAAGAATAAACTAAACTAAAGTCAGTCGATTACTTTTGATAATGTGAAGAAATCAGACAATTTCTGCTTTGTGCAGCATCTTTCCGTCAGCAAACCTTCTTTCAAATTGAACACAAAAAGCGATCCAGCTTCTTCATTCACCAGCAGGCTTTTTCATTATTTGATTCTTGAATCCTCAACAACAGAGGCCAGTTAGCGCAAAAGGAGTCAACACTTAAATCAGTGTTTTTTCTTATGAACATAAAAAGACTTGTAGAAAATCGATTATCTGTGATCACAAAAAATATAAAACAAGCATATTAATGTTCTTTGGTCTTTCACTGCAAGCAAGATAATAAATGTTAGAAAAAACAATGATCTAATAGTATGAGTTTCATTGTCAATTTTTATTTTATTTTATTTTTTTTACCAAGTCAATAAAATATAACCTTTAGCTCCAGTCCAACTACAGGGTTCTAAACTCACCAGTAGAGGTATGGTTTGTCTTTGTCCACGTTAATGTTGTTGAGTGGATCTTGTCTGAACCAAGTGTTGATGGTAAATCCGTTTTGGTACGGCCACTTGGCAATTGGTGGCAATGCTATAGCCTGGTGGAGAATAAGCACAGCAGAGTTTACATCAACATATAAAAAAATGCAATGTGGCCATGAACAGATTTCAAAAAACTACAGGCAATTGTTAAAATGATGCATCTATGAGATTAAAAAAAAATTTTAAAAACTAAACCATAATAAATAAATGTGAAAAGTTTTGAGAGTATAAAATATACTCTGAAAAAATTAAGAGACAAAGACAAAGGTGTATGAGGAGAAAAGATAAACAAAAACAAAAAAGGGGGCCAAAATCTGGTCTCATTAATACACACACCTTTAAATGAATCAGTTTTCTTTTGTACAGACCTGATATTATTGATAATGAATCTGATTAATTAATTTTGGTAGAAATATAAAGAAGTATGTGTATTTTTTGAATGTGTTCAAAATTGCATTTAATTGTAGTTGTCTGCTAAAAAGGTAAAACTGAAGAAGGATTTCATTCTTCATCAATACATTGAGTTAAAGGCAACAGCTATGTCAACTAAAGAATGGATTCGTGAGAAAAAAAAATTACATTATGGAACAGTCGATTTTAATAGGGTTATATACAATTTTCAATTTCCACCATGCTATTAACATTATTACTGGATATTTATAATCTATTTTTCGTGGAATAAAATAACTACAAACATGCTGATGTTACACATAAATTGGAAGAACTGCTTTTTAGCCATGTAGGGGCAGAACATATTTGTATGCTTCTTACCGCTGCACTGCGTCCAGGGAAGTTGAAGAAGGTGTCGGGACCGTGCCTCTGAGGCATCTGGTTCAACACAGACAACAACTTGATAGCATGTCTTGGCTAGGAGAGGAGATGAGAAAGTAAGTTGTTATTACATGAAAAATGCTGTGCATCAGAGGGACAGTACAGTGAGACTTAAAAAAAAAAGAGGAAAAAAAGAAAAACAACTCTGTGGCTTCACATCTCTACCACAACCATCCCAGATCAATAAGTCTTCAATCACCGGCTCCCTCCCCCGATAACAACCCCTCAATACCATGGCACCCCTTAATCGATCTGTCCCCAGAGAAGACTGCTGAGGGAGGAGGAACTGGAATGGACGGTGAAACGGACAAAGTGGATGGGCTGACAATTGCTATTGGACAGCAGAGGTGCAGTAAAATGGCTGAGGGTATTGCCCACTGGTCAGACAACAGAGGTGGCTGAAGGTGGTTGTGCATGAGCTTCACCAAAGGATCGATTAATGAGGAAGGGAAAAGGCATTTACAGGTGGAACTCAATAGCTTAGAATATCATTGAAAATGTATTATTGGCAGTTCAATCAAAAAATGTGTGATATAGATTTATTAAACACATTGATGTATTTAAACTGCTGAGCTCTGTTAGTTTAAACAATGATGGCTGACAGCTAATAAAAAACCCATAAAAATCACTTTCAGAAATAAAAAATAGAATAACGTGAGACTGATGTCATGACGAGTCATTTGTTTCTGGAGGGGAAGCGGAGAAGGATGGTCATGTGACAGTAATGGTGATCCAGTGCAGGATTGTGGGAAGTTTAACTGAAGCAGAGAAGCAGAGGTCAGCATTGAGGTTGCTTTTTCAGTGTTGAAAGAGTAGTGAAATCTATGTAATATACTAGGTGAATATCAATTATCAGCCGTAGCAGTAATATTAATATCAGATCGGCATCAGCTTATATGTTGATATGATGCAGTGTGATATAGAGTCAACCAGCCAATTATTATGTTGCCTCAATAAATATCCAACATATATTAAGGTCATTTTTCTCCTTGACCTACATAAAACATGCTGTCTCCAGATTAGGAATGGCTTAACACAAGGAATGCGACCTTTGCAGCCGTTGCCTGCATACGTTTGTGTGTTGGATTCAGCTGCAGCCCATGCCTTGTGAATCTCCCCCAACCATTTGAATGAGTCACAATCCTGTCAAAACTGTTGTTATCCCTATTGCTTGTGTATTTTTGCTACTGCATTTTTTCCTTCTACTCTATTTTCAATTTATGTGCTTGGATACACACCTCTGTAAACCAGGAACTTATTAAGAAATGATAAGCAACAAACCTGATAAACTTTTAATATATTTCTGTATCAAAATTTCAAATTTATCCAATTTAATAATTTACATTTTCTAAGATGCAATATTTTGGGTTTTCATTAGTTTTAAGCCAAATTCATCAAAATCAACAAAACGCAGACACTTTTGATACACCTCACTGAGTGTAATGAATTTACATGAGTTCCACCTTTTGATTAAAACCTGTAAACAAATTAAATATTTGATGATATTATAATTCACTGATGTGCATCTGAAGTTAGTGACTCATTTGCAGATCTACCAACCTTTCAGACAGTAAGGTGTGGAGAAAGAAGATTTTAAGTTTGCTTTGATCTCTACAGGATATTTCAATGTTTGTGATTGACCTGCCTTTCTCCATGTATGACTCAACAAGGACAACAATTAACTGTGTACCTTGTTCTACTGGTATTTCGGAGTTTGCAAATTCCTAGAAAATATGTTCAGAAAAGTAGGTTGATCAGAGGAGGAATCACCAAAATAGACAAGAGGAGTTTTGAAAAGAGAGGTGGGAGGGTAACCGGGATTGCTTCTTCTTTTACAGGAAATCTGTAAATGTACAGAGACCTAAAAGGCCTGCGCTGGCAGTTTCAACGTGAACTTTCATCTCATAAAATCATCTCTAAAAAGCTTAGTTTTAAAGTATCCTTTCTAAAACAGGGAAATCAAGTGACTGCAAGCTGAGCTAATCAGTAAACTACAGGGAGCAGTTTGGATTACGACAACAGGAACCCAAGCTGATCTTAAACTAATCACTTTTAGTTACCAGCACCAGGAGTAATCTCTTTAATGGGTATTTGTAGAGTAGCTCTAACTATAACAAATACAAAAAAACGACAAGCTTATGCATTTTGATAATAAACATAAAGGTGCAGAAAGTTTAAAACACGGAGAATTCAAATTAATTCCAAAGCATGCAAAATGCTAGAGTAAACAAAACTTTCTGTCTTATGTCTGAAAAGTTTTGAATTTCTCTGCCGACAGTAAAGAAAGGTCTGTGAAAGAGATGCGATGGTTAAACAACCTGTCAAAAGTAGAAAAAGAAGAAAAAAAAAAAACGAGGTGTGCCCTTGAACTCATCCAGTAGAGCTGGCTTGTGCTTAGAAACCGAAAATAGTATCTACATGTAAAGAGAGTCTGAGTATCTTGAACTGCACTGACTGTTTCACCTTCACACCTGATTGGGCTGTCACTGCTTTTTTCATCAAGCTTCTAAGGGTCTAAGCAATAACACAGTCACTACTTCGCTGTATTGATAAAGTCAATTACAAGAGAGAGAGAAAAAAAAACACCACTGAAAAAATTATAAAAGAAAATACCTGAAACATAAACAAATTACCCATGTCTCTATATCCACTCGCAAACACGTTCTATTTTATTCAAGTCTATTAGCACAATAATCCCATTAAGTGACACCCAGACTAATGACACCACAAACTCCTGCCGTTTAATTAATCTCATTTGGAATAAATTTAGCTTCAACCACTATTGTAGTTGGATACAAGGCAAGTAAAATCAAAGGAAAATCTAATTTCAAGCCAAAAGAAATCAAAAAGGAGAATAAATAAAAACAAAAAAAAAGAAATAAATTGAAGACATAAAACATATAAAATGGTGTTTTGAGAAAGACAATTAAAGAAGTCATAAAAAAAAGTCACTAGCTGAGGCCTCTGTCCTGCAGATTGCAATAATTTAGAGACTGTGATTTTTTGGCTAATCTAATTAAAGAGAGTGCATTCACTGTTGTCAGAGTCAATTTAAGAATAAAATCAATCAATTTCAATAAATTAACAAGTTTTAAGTTGGCATATTCAAGTTCCCCAACACAACCAAAAGTAAATCTATTATTTGCATAAAGCCATCATTATAAACAACATTTAATAAAAATACTGAGATGGAATCTTTGAAATGTCTTTATTTCTAGTCATTCACCTGCCATCACCACCACAACTTTACCTTTATAGTTTATGTTGACTGACTTATTTTATTTGATGCTCAATTAAGGAACTGCACTTTATTATCGCCAAGTATTTAGAAGAATTCAGCATATAGATTTGTTCTAGGTCTAGCTAGTAAAATTAACACCTTGAAATTTGTGCAATTAAAAAGCATCATTCAATGAAGACCAAATGTTTTTTGATGCTTGAGAGGATTTTCAGCATCTGGATTGACACTTACACAAATTTCAGAAAAACAAACAACAGTAGCAGCTCATTTTGGAGTCCCAAGATTTAAAAATGTTTTCTATAACAAGCAGTTCAAATCTCACCAACAATTACAACAGATCAGAAAATAAATTTAAATTTAATGAAATTTACATACAATTGTTGTGTTGTTATCTGTCAAGCTAATTTAAAACCTGGCATCTACATCTTATCAGATTAACATAGTCATTGACATCACTTCTGCTTCTCTTAACTACACATTTCTGCATTTCTCTGTTTTAACAGAGTTGGTGAAAATGTAATCTTAATTTGCAAGACAAACCATCCACTGTGTGCATGTGTGTGCATGTAATCTATCAGATCAAATCCTGCAGGGTGTGCCTATCAGTGTTTTAAGGATTTATGAGTGCAACTGTATTCAAAATTTAGATTTGTGTTGTAGGTAAGCCTGTTTAAGTATTTTCAAAAGTTCCATATCCTCCAGTAATAAAGGTCTAAATGATAATCTTGTGAAGTTGTCGACTTCAGAAAAAAACACCCAAAAAAAACATTCTCTTAATGTCCACAACCAACATCTACAAAACGGCAAATATGCAAAGTTTTGTTCTGCAGCAACTCACCCAGATGCCATTCTCTCCTCTCAGCATACTGAAGAGCAGCTTCAGCTCCTTCACTGTGATGCTGTAACTGGCCAGGACTCCAAGCATATCCACCAGGAGGTCTGAGGAAACACACACACACACACAAGCAGAGAGCACAGAGGGTAAGATATGTTTTCTCATGAGCGTATCTTTGAGTCAGTATCTGGAAGGCCCTGTGCAGACTTTTCTCTGATAAAGTGTGATGAGGTCATAACACTCAGCCAGTTCACGTACAGCGAGAGTTTACTCATTTATCATTCAGTGAAAGTCAAGCCAACAACAAACAGCTACACCACTATATAGCAAGCAGGACATATCACTGTTTGACAGCTCCGGGTCAAATCAGTCCTTCAATGTTTCAAACATGTTTGCACCCACATGTCACCCCTTCCTGTTTCTATTTTCTATCCGCTTACTTTATCATTGTGTTTCACATTTTTCATCTTGGTCGTTCTGTATGTTTTTATATGATTCTCAGACAATTTAATTATAATAATATGTTCTAAACTCAGATGTAATTTCATTTAATTCTATATTATTTTGCAAAGGTCTTATTCACTCCTAATTCAACTGATTGCAGTTCAGATTCCAGTTTGGACCAAATTACTCTTTTGAAATATGACAAATAAAAGCCCTTCACCTCATCATAGAAATTATAGACTCTTACTGCTTTGGAGGATTAAATAAGTTCTTAAGATATAACTTTAAATCATTCATTGGCAAAGCATAAACAAATTATATCAAAGACTGGTACAAATCAATCCATAAAGCATGAACAGGTGCAGGAATAAACTGACCTGAGTCTTTGTTACTCGAGTGGTTGAAATAAAAAAAGTATGAAGGACACTTTTTATATCTACAGAAAACTAAATTATTATTACTCCTCCTGACACATTCAAACACACTTCAGACTTATTGACACACTTAAAATTATTTGCTTAAATTGTGTTTCTGAAAGTAAGTGAGACAGGCATCTCTCAAATGGTAATAAAACAAAGCAAATTTTAGATGAATTTATCAACAAAGGTAGAAACTTATTTTGCATTTAATATAGTATTTTGATGATGAAGTCCATGTCCTTGAGATTAGAACGGCTCATTGCTGCCATCACCCTAATATTCATCTTCCTCTACAGATAATTCAAGTTGGGCTAAAATAAAAATATATATATTTTCATTAACAGAAAAGAAGTTGGTTGAAGTAAAAGATTACTTAAAATCTATTCAGCAAGAGTATGAATAATTGTGGACTTCACAGTAAATGGAATATTCAACACAAATATTTACAAAAACGTGCCAGTTTTATACTGGAAAGGATATTCATTTAAAGGTACAGGGGAATTATTTACCCAAAAACTTTTTATTTAAAATTTCGGTACTATATTTCAGTATAGTAAATATACTTATATGGTGCATGATAAGGTTTTATACGGCTAGTCCTAATATAATACAACTCTCTTGATTATTTTTCTGTTGTAGGTACGTTCGTAGACAGTAGCACATCAGCACTAAACTGAGGTATTTCGAGATGACCTCCCTGCTTCATTGACCTTCACATCACACAAACAACATTAGCAGTGTCGCTATGGCAGAGAGAGAGAGCATTCCGCCTCTGCAGAGTGAAACGATCTGCTTAGAGAGGCCTCCTCTTTCTTATGGACATGAAGAGTCTCACCACCATAATTCATTAACCAGAGCCCAGCGACTGGGAATAAAGGAAAAAGGCTATCTCACTGAGGTACTTGATACGAGAGCAAAATCCAACTCAGAATGTCCCAGATTTACACCCCTGAGCTCCAGTTTTGGTACAATAAATCCAAATGGGTCATTTTAAATAGTTTCAGGAAAAAGCCAGAATCCAAGTGAGAACAGAGAGAACTGGCATTAAACTGATGCAGCTGTATGCTCTGCTCTGAGTTTTAATAACTCAGTTAAGGTATAAAACCCATTATCCAGCCGCAGTGGGTAGGACAGAGACGACATGGACACTAACTGTGGGGACAAACATGCTGAGATGCTATCAAAGGAAAGCCAAGGTCAATGTGACAACACAAAGAGATGACTGACTGGGTAAAGTTTACATGCTGTAGGTATGAAAAAAAATCTAGGCAAGTTTTATATATTTCAAACAAAGCACACTGGAAAATTTTATTATAAGAAAGCATCATCCACGTTTACCCACAAACAAATAAGGTTAACTCAACAGGCTTGAAAATGGTCATAAAATCTTGTATACTGCTTATTGAAAATGCCTTATTGGCTTTTATTTGTCAAACAAATACAGAAAAAAACATTTCTGAAGAAAGGTGTTCTTCGTGTTATTCTAAAAGGCACTCCTGGGAAAATCCCTTTACCCTGTGTGAAATTATTACTCTGGCAGTAGACACTTTCAAACATGACTGCAGTGACTAGACTCTACAAAGCAATAATACAAAGAAGTGTGAGAACACATTGCACATCAACAGATGCGTTTCTGCACAGCCTGAGCTATTTTGTTTACACAGAGCTAATGAAATACTTAATAAGTGTATTACCAATTTATGAATAAGTAAGCAGATATATCTAATTTACACCTTTCGCAAGCTGGGTTAAAACACAATTGGGAGTTTTAGTGGGAAGGTTTAATCACAAAATGTTATGACTGATAAAGTTCTGAGCTCATCCACAAAATATATGACAAACATCTGCACAGACATTTCAGGCCTCCTATCAAGGAAGTTCATGGGATTTATGTTGGAGATGTGTCTCAAAATGTGCCATCATGCAGCCTGAAGTGCTAATGAAGAGATGGTCTTCATTAAAGAAACAGTTCAACATATTGAATTGAAAGCCACAAATAAAGTTTGAGTATATATATGTATAGTTTTAATACTATTATAAAAATAACAATAATCACAATAATCAATCTCTTTTGTTTTTTTTTTTTCAGTGGTAGAAGTAACTAATGGTTTTAGGCTTTAAATAAATAGCCTTAAGTTATACATGTAACTTTTTTTTAGTACATTTCTTGAAATTATTTTTTGTTGTTCTTTTATTATTATTTTAAATGATAATAGGTTAAAGCAACTATAGGGTGCTTTAACCTACGCTTTAGTTAAATATACTGATAAATTAGAAAAATAAATAAAATTCTAGAGCTTCATATTGTTCTTGCAACAACTTCTTGAAAGGAGCTTCTATATATACTGGTTATGCAAATTTAACTCTGCCTTTTAGCTCATTCATCAATAAAAATAGTGCTAAGAAAAGGCTAAACCAAAATAAGTAGGGTTCTTAATATCAGTATAAAATGAGACTGGTCCTTTAATCTATGTATTTTTAGAAACGTGTAGAAATGCAGTTTCTTTTCAACACTGTTCACCATGTTAACATTTATTCTTAATTCAAAATGATTAAAACAAAATAGGCTGTTTATTACATATTTTGTACATTTTTGATTTTTTAAATAATGTTAAACATCTCTGTTGAAACAACTGAAATCTTTTTAAGTGTCTAATCATGTTTAAATAATGAGGTTATGAAACATTGATGGGATAAAATAATGATATTGTATGATGATCCAAAACTATGAACCGAACTGTTTTTCTTGCCGTCTCCACATCTCACCTGCGATCATGTCGTCCACAGTGCTCATTTTGAGAAGCACCTGCTGGATGAGGCCGACCTCGGTGCTGGTCTGCAGGTTTCGCACGCTCTTCCGCAGGATGGCGGTGAACATGCTCCAGATCTCCGCCTGGCACGTTACTTCGCAGTGCGACAACAGCTCCACCATGCAGCCGATGCTCTCCGCCTCCTGGATGATGAAGTTCATCTCCAGGTCAAATTCGCCGCCCACCAGCTGGAGGAAGACGGGGAGAAAGGGGGGAAGAGGGGATGAGAGAGGGGAGGGCAGAAGAAATATGGTCAATGATTTAGAGAAGCATTTATAGTTTTTTGTCTCCAGGAGAGGTTAGTATAGCTTCTGATGGATGCTGATTGGCTAGAAAAACATTTCTTTGGCCTGGGGGACACACGCACTGAAACAAATAAACGTCTCTTGTCTCAGTGCACAGATGGACTCACACACATCCACATACACACCCTATGTCCTCTACTCCTCACTCTCTTATATCAGGAGAGGAGCTCTACCCTCTGCGAACCTCAATCACTCAACATACAGCCACATAGAAATGGCCTCCTCTTCATCAGCTACACACACACATACGCACATCATGACATGCAAAGACACCCACACACACACACAGACACTGATTAATGCACATTACAGTCCTGGTCCTCTTAGACGGCATTAGTCAGATCATACCACACTTATCAAATCGAGCGCAAATGTTCTGTCTCTTAATGGCTGAAGCACTATAATTACTTGTGAAAGTACATACGGCCGTGCCTCACATTCACAAACACGAGCATACCCACACAGCTCGTCCTCTGCATACTACACTGTCCAGGAAATGGAAACCATGGAAACCAGCAAGCACTGGGAGCAGCATCGAGGTTATTAAATCAGATGAAACAGAAACATGCCACAGACTATGCAAGGCAAGAGAGAGAAAAAGATAAACATTATGACTGTCATGGCTGTGTACAGTAAGATGAACATTCCTCTCATGATCTGTTTTATGAAAAGGTTGAAAAGTTTGTCATTGATCCGTTATTTGAGTTATCTTGGCCACCAGTTTTCCACATTTTCTCCCTGTGATTTGTTGGTGTCCCGAGGCCTCAGAAATGACTCTGCAGCTCAGAAAAAGTCAAACCAACAACAACTTTGTTTCTTATCAGTTCCTGGATTTATTTAGATGGAGCACAACATGTTGTCTTCTCAGATCCTTCTGCCATCATGCAGAGTCCATTCAGACAGGAGAAACTGCCCTGTAGTGTAAACATTTATGTGACGTAGTTTTAATAGTGTGTAAAATAAGTAATCTGATTCTCAGCCTCGAGTAACGTTATCCTACAGGTCTGTCAGCAATCATGAATGTGGCTGTGACATTTTACTCATCAAAAAAGGGTTATTCATAATTCAAAAAGTAACTAACATAATAATCTACAATAAGACCGAGTTACTGACTACACTCCTTTAATTAATCATCTGTACATTGTCACACTGTTAAAGAATCAATATCATAATCTGTTTATTATCAGTTTTAGACCTATATTTTTCTAACTTCCTGTAGTAGCTAGCTGAGCTGCATCAAGGGTGGCTTCCATCTGAACAGAAAGTAGATTTTTAAACAATCATGTATTTGATTTGGACACCTCTAAAACAGAGAAATTAGGGCTCACAAGACCAAAAAACAGAAACGTCTGCATACTAAAAAGCTTGTCCACATCCTGTACAGTATTTGCTTTTAATACTTGGTCTTAGGTCCTTTTGCTTGCATGACAACATAAATGCATTGCAACATGTAGACAAAGAGCCAATGCTTCTGCTGGATGTTAAGGAAGGCCTGGCTGCTTCATTAGCATCCCTCAGTTCTTCTGCATTGGATGTTTTTTATCTACCAATTGACAAAACACCATAGACTCTCAATAGGGTTTGGGTCAGGCAAGTCTGCTAGCTAATCAAGCACATAACCAGATATAATGGTCATGAAATAAGGTAATAGTGTTTGGAATGGCAAAGAAAACTCAGCATCTCCCCAAAACTTGCCAGGAAACATTAAGCGATTTGAAATTTCCTGTTTGATGGCTGCCCTTACACAGTGAATGAACGATAGCTGATGACAAGGTTCCACAAATCTTCACCGATTGTGGAAATTTCACACTTGACTGAAATCTTGACTTCCAATTGAAATGTTACATTTACTTTTATCTGCAAAGAGAACATTGAATCATTGAGCAGCCATCCAAGCCTTTTTTCCTTAGCCCATGTAAGAAGTTTCTGGTGTTTGTGGGGGAGGAGTGGATTGACATAAGAAAAGCTAAAGCCAAAGCCAAAGCCCAGGTCTCAGATACAGCAGACTGTGGTAGCTGTTAACGGACAGACTCTCACCACAATCCACATTCTCTAAATCTCAAGCAAACTCTTGAATGAACTTGCCAGTGCACATTTTCCATCATACTTTTCCCTTCTACTCAATTTTCCATTGATTTGTTTAAAAATCACCCTTAAAAGCCAACTTTTTAACCAATGCTTACATCGCAATGTCTTCTTTAGGACAAGGAAAGGCCATAACATGATGATGTAATACTAACATAAGAAGGAAATCTAACCTCAGCAATCATTGGAATCATAATCGATCATTAAGTAGTCTTATCAATATTCCCTAATCGCAAGTCCAATGAGAGGCATTTAACCCTCTCAGGCTCAAATTACTTGCAAAGACTGTTTAAGTTGTTGCAAATCTGCAACACCTGCCTGGAGAGGGTTAACATCAACAGTTGGTGCTTTACAGTAGATGTTTTTTCTATCAATCAATCTAGTTTGTTTGTATACACATTTCAGCAACAAGGCAGTTCAATCATAATAACACAAAAATACAAAGTCATAAAAACACCATACAGTCAACAATACGGAAAACCAGAAACAAACATTACATTTAATTATGTCTCATCTCCAGCTTTGTCACTACAATAAATCTCCATGTCGTCTACCCTCGTCTGTTCCCTCCCCTCTTTACAGTTAAAACAATGGTCTCCCCTTTCTGTCCCAGTGTCCCATCTCTCCCTTGGAGAAGTGAATTGATCCGCCTCGCTCTGTGAATACATTATCACAGATTACACAGGATGAAGTCTGGAATAAAAGCAGGAAGATTTAGATTCAGCCCACGCTGAATTTTTCTTTCCCTCCTCTTCTCCTCAGAGGTTCCTAATTACGTTGCTCACAGGGGACCGCTGCGTTCTAGCGCATCCAATACAACCTGTCCGTCTGAAGACGATGCATGTAAACAGCCACAGGGGGCGCAGAGGGCATTTGTAGAAACTCGCTAGTAGATACGTAGCAAACTGGAACATAGAAAGATACACACATCCCTGAGGCGTGTCTACTCATGTACAGCATGAGCGTTATGTCTCTGTGCCAACTCTTCCTTTCACAGAGCATCACAGAGAGATGAGAGGGGTGATGCAAACAACTGCAACAAAATGTCTAGTGACAAACAATGCAGCAAAAAAAATAGAGCTTGAAGGCCAAAAGCAGAGTGATATAAAAAAGGAGGAAGTGTCCTCATTCTTCCTGTTATTAATACTATCTCTGTTGCACCAACAGAAACATCTGTAAAGGATATTTAAAAACTGAAGTGATCCTGCCAAGACCAGAGCAGTGGCATGAAAAATATTCAACTCAAATTTATTTTCCCCCTTTTCCAGTACTTGGGGGGGAAAAAAAGAAATACCGCTGGATGCTTGAGCTCATTATTTGCTCAAATGTGGCTTTTAATTGATGTCTAAATAAATACAGCACCTTAAATAGCAATAAGGCCGTGTACAGCCAAGTGCACTCAAGCACCAATCAGTATCATGCACACAGACAAAAGCGAGCTAATTAGTTTTATGAGCCAACATGATTCTTTTGCATAAACACAAGTAACCTTTAATCTCTCTGTTCACCCTGCCCTGCATGTCCAATATGTGGATTTCCATGTATTCACACCAGTGAGCACACACAAGAGGCATTTATGATGCTGGAAGTTAAAGGGCAAACAAACATAAACACCATCCTGTCTGAATAAAAGGGGCCTGGCAGTGCCACCACACTCTCTGTAAAACACTGACCTCACTGTCTTCTTGGCAACTTGTTCAAGTTGTTTGTTTTGGCAGCATTATGGCACTGATAAGTCCCAAAGCATTGCATGTTCCATTTACACAAACACACACACACATGCAAGGACACTAGCTGCTGAGTCACAGCCGGTTTAAACCAGTTGCTAAGGAAGCAGCTGACTGTTTTCCACTACTGCAGGAGGTTACAACGAAACTATGAGGTATATGCATCAGAAGGGAGAGGAGTCAGTGGGCAACTTATTACACTGACTTGAAATGGCAACAATACCCCATTATCTTTTTCACATCTACTATTCAGCAACTACAAACTTCACTGTAATTTGGAATTTCAAGTAGCATATCAGCACAAAGACATGCAGAATTATGACACCGAGTATACCGTAGTCGGTTCACAGTTGTTTTTCACAAAAGTCCTATTTGTCAGTATTACTTGCTATCCTTGTCTGAGCCTAATGTTTAATATAATTTGAAGAGCAAGTTTGTTTACAGAGACTTTAAGACTTGCCTATTTTTTATATTTAAAATGTCTTCCAGTGTTAGGACACTAGTTTATTGATGTTTGAGAGGATGTATTTGCATTATTATGCCATTAGCATTATATTAGTTAAAATGGTCTCAAAACAACATTTATTATCATTTATTACAATAATTTCTGGGACTATTTATTGTCCAGTGAAATTTGTTATTATGACAGGCCTGCTTACATGGCCCAGAATCACTCTAAGGGCAAAAGGCCTTTTTAAAGGAAACAGATTACAACTGCAAAAGAGCAAGGATATGATGAACATACAATAAGTCATGTTCAGGAGGTTGAAAGTAGACCTGCTTTGAATAAAACTACTATCGAGTGTGTTAGTTTCTTAATAAGACACCATCTTGTCCACTGTTAGAAATATTTCATGTTGCTCATTATCCAACCAGCCTTTATTTGCTCGTCTGCTGAAGGTCATACTGGTCCATCTAATGTTCACTCTATTATAGCCTTATACACTGTTAGGCTTTTTTTTTACTACCTCCTTGCTTCCCTGGTATTTGAGTAACACTGAATACAAAGGCCCATTTCTCCTCACTGGTCTTCAAAATGGGAAAAGTAAGAGAACATGCCATCAGAGTGGG